ACCACGCTGCTCTGTGGCACCGCGGTGGAACTGTGCTCTCATATGTTACATAGTTTGCTCTTCACGAAGCTAACAGACGTCGCGCCAACATCTGGAAATGTCAACATAGATCGTCTTACTGAGGCTTTTCCTTTGGAGATGTCATGGAGGTCCAGAGCAAACACTGCCTCCCTGGCACCCAGCACCAGCAGACCCAGGTCTTCCATCAACAACATGGAGGTGTAGTTAAGGACGCCTTCTTGGTGAAAGCGATGAGCCTTGACTCCTGGTGATAGAGTTTATTCGTTTACATATTCATTTTATCAAAAGGTTGTTTTTTTGTTTTTTTTTAATCAGCTCCAGTAAGAGTGTGTTCACATGAAAATACCAACATCCGCCTCTTGGATCATTTTCTCAAACCTACAGATGTAGAGAATGTCTGATTCTGCATAAAACAAATCTATACATTTGTATAATTCTGCACTTCCACATAACACCTGTAGAGGGTGTCTTGTCATCTACTTCACCTCTGCTTAGATCTTTATGATTGAACTTGCAGTTTGAAGTTCACCATTTGAGCAGAACCTGATCTCAGACCTGGAACACTCACCATGAAGGAGCACATGTTTTCGGGGGACAGATTCCAGCGGTGAGTGTTTTTCCAGTGTTGCGACCAGAGGTGGCAGCAAAAACACAGTAATGAAGAGCAGCAGGTTCATGGCTCAGATGAATTTATCAGCCAGGTATTTTTCAACTCCACTGTCTGATGACTTCCTCTGTGATGTCCCGCTCTTGCTTCATCTGCTCATCCTTTGATCATCCTTTAATCAACTTTTCTCTTTGATGCCGGTGCCGTCAGTTCGATACAAAGGCCAAACATCAGCTAAAAATATTACATGAAATACAACACAATTTGGGTAACAAATCATTTGGCTAAAATAAACATGGCTAAAGGTAAAAACAAGAGAAACAAAACAAGAGAAACTTCATAATTAGCTGTTGTTTACATCATTTTCTTCGTGCTAATTGTTCTGTATTTTTATATTTGTATAACTTTTCTTCTTTGCATACTTTAGCCATTTTTGGCTAGCTGCTGAGCTAACCGTAATCCCAAAACTGTGTTTTTATTAGCATAGCTTTCAAGAGGCTCATATGTGAAAACTTGACCTATTGACCCACAAACTGAGGCCAAGTGAGAAAACCACCGACCAGACTAAGTGGTACAGACCAGTGCTTGTACTTCTGACTGTCTGTGTGTGTGTGTGTGTGTGTGTTTGTGTGTTTGTGTGTGCGTGTGCGTGTGTGTGTGAGACACACACGTTTAGCTGCAGCTCTGCAGCCTCGGTCAACAGTTTAGAATAATATTAGCCTAACTAAGAACACACTCGCTTATGTGCGCGCACATACACACACACACACACACACACACACACACACACACTGGCAGCAGTCATTTCATGGATGATTAAAAAAACGCACCAAGAGTGAGACCAGCTGTGGAGACATCTGAGGGTGTGGTTACTGCAATAATTACTATTCTCATAATTGACCACCAGGGGGCGATTACACTGCTTTTCCTATAGCTGAGGTTTGTCCAACATCCGGCCCGGGGGAGCGTTGTGTTTGGCTCCTGACTCTTTTCTAGGGAATAATATTGATGGCTTGTCAGCAGAAATGGGAGACGTTTGGATTTTCACTTTATCTGCTCTTTTTTTTTTTTTAATTGACCGTTGGCTATTGGCCATCCAATTTTCCTTTCGACATTTCAGGCTTTCTGACTTACTTTTTGACTTTCTCGGCCTCAAACTGTTAGCTTTTGTTTTTTCTTTTAGCTATTTCAGGCCTCCCTCGTTATGAGCCCTTTGTCGATACATTTGTTTGCTGTCAGTGAGCTGCTTTGCTAACCATTAGCTGACTGTGGTATAACGTGAAGTCATCTCTTGTCTAATTGGGATCTTACTTTGCCTTGAGTCAGTGTGCGTCTTCTCCATGGCCGCCGACTGATACTGCAGTTTGACCTCTGACCTTGATACAGTGTCAGGAGGAGGCTCCACTTCCTCTTCCTTTCACTCCTCCCTGTCTCCACATTCCAGAAGACAGGAAGTAATATTGCAGGACTTCACCGTAGCTTCTCGCTGTCATTTCCTATGATGCTTTGTCAACCTGAACATCGACCATAAGACCGTTCACCTTGACACGCCAACAGTCGACAATAAACAGGAAGTGGCACGGCTCGTTCTGTCAACGCTCAGGTGGTTAGGGTCCTCCCCCCGCCTGTTTGTCACCCACGCTCAGCTTGGGGACTATGTCCAAACTGTCCCTCACTCACACACACGCAAACACACAAATGTGTGTGTGTCATGCAAGACCATTGTGAACAGGTCAACCTTCCTCCATGTTTGAATTTAACTCTGATCCTGCAACATCTGGGACGAGTTAAGAAGGAATGAAGGGGAGAGAAAGAAGAGAGAGAGAGGTTGTGTTGAAGGTCGAATGCTGAGACACACAGCTCTGTGTGTTTTCCTTAAAGAAACCACACACACACACACACATTTTTCTGTGGTTTGTGGGGACTCACTTTTTAATCCTCATCAACTTCTCTCAAGGTTCCAGAGTAATAAAAAAAACACAGGCTCAGGGCAAAATGACTTTGAAAAAAATGGCTGAATTTCTCTTTAAAATTCTAATGCTGGAGATTTTTGTCCCCGGTCATCACGCAGTCAACTTTGTCACAAGTGTAAAGTGTCCATGAAGGCTGTATCTGTGGTCAAGTGGTAGACAAGAAACTACTACAAGTACCTTCAGACAGGGTTGGACGATATTGGCAAAAAAAAAGAAAGAAAAGACCTCGATCATTTATGGCATTTTGTTGATAACGATTCATCTGACGAGTGTACGTTTTCATACTCTTGTCCTTTTGTTCATTAATTCTATTGACATTTTACAGGCTGTTTTACAGGCTGTTTTACAGGCTGTTTTACAGGCTGTTTTTGATTCTCGCAGTAATACAGGACACAGGAAGAGTTCGCTCAGAGTTACCTCTAACATTAAAGTGATCAAATATAGCACTGTAACTACAAGGTAACAAAGCAACAGCATGACTTAACGTGAGCCTTCTGAACAGGTTTGTTGAAAATGAAGATAAATGTTTCGGTAAATCCAGTATTTTTGATGATGATCTGAATAGATGTCATTCACTAGTAGGACTGGTGGGCACCTCCTTTGTACCCACCATACAACAGGTCTGTGTAACCTGAGTGTGTAAACAGATTTTGTCCCATAATGTGACCACTACCATAAACACTCTGACCACACGCATTCTGAAGAGTTCCAGATGTTTCTGCTGCTCAGTGGAGACAGGATTTTCTCGTCCTGATGATGATGATGATGATGATGATGGTGGTGGTGGTGGTGGTGGTCATCTACATCAGCATTGTTGTCTTCATCTTCATCATCCTCAGCTGAAACATCATATTTGTTGCTTCTATCCTTTTTTTCCCATCTTTCTTATCTCACAGTCATTAGCTGGACAGTGAACACCTCATGATGCATTTGAGGTCAAAAGAGTAAGAAGATACACACACACGTGTTCTGAAAAAGGAGACGGCAGCCTGTCGCCATGGTAATGATCACCTGTCAGTCAACTGGTGATCTATCAGCTGATAAACTGACAACCCATGTTCCTGTCACCCCGACCCGATGATGACCTCACACACACACTCAACACACACACACACACACACACACAGTAACATGATCTTTTTGTGTGTTGCTTTTGTACAGTGAAACTGGGACATAGCAGAATCCAACATGGCCGCCGGGAGAGTCCATGCTCATTGAAGAGTAGTCGAAGACAGATCAGATAACTGTGTGTGTGTGTGTGTGTGTGTGTGTGTGTGTGTGAGAAAGACAGAGGCAGAGAATCTCAGCCAGGTTTAGCAGGTCAGGATTAGGTTTCTTGTTTGTTTGAGATCCTATTGTATAAGCTGTGAGATTGAGGACTTAAAGGCAAATTTCATGGTTTTTGATGTGTTGTATGTCTTCCTGACAAAGTCAGAGTTGACTGGGCTCTGACTGCACTCTGTCCTGGGAACCAGACACAGAGCCTCACTCTTAGTGAAAATAATCAGGTCCACTCTCCCACTCCACAGTACACGGAGTAAATCTGTGTTTTCAGCCTTTGCGCACAAAGAACTTGATGTTTCAACGCTGCCTCGTGTGGTCAGTAAGTGGCACTGATCTAAATTTGGACGGTGGTTTTTGGACACCAAAGTTCCATGAAAACACTTAAACTAACTGATAGGGGGAGCAGTGGGTAAACAGCTGCTGTGTGCCTGGGAACTACAATCACTGTTTTTCTCCATGGACGTCTGTGTGAGACGGTGACAGGTTCGTAGTACTGTGCTAGTACTACTACACCACAAATATAATCAGTAATCTTTGCTTATTTTAGCCCACTGGGACACAGTAGCTGCTGCTCTGTTGATGCCCCCTGTGGTCATTTTGTGTCACTGAAATTAACCTTAACAAAGGATTTCAAACAGAAGTCACAAAATAACACACATTTAAAATGATCGAGAGATCCACAGGTGGCGCTCTAACAGTCCAACGAGGAAGTGAATCTGTTTTGAAGATGTTGCAGACGTCCCTTGTGTCCACTGAGAGGCAGCCTGTGTATCCACACCAGTCTTGGTATAGGGGGCGCTCTGATAGCAGTTTCAGGAGCATTTGCTTCATGTTAGCCATTATGAACAAACCTCATTGTTGTACCACGCTAACAGTTCCATAAGGATTAGGCTAACAAGTCGACAGACCTGTGAACCACCGAGCTCCAAACGTCAGCCGCTCTCTGCAGCTTCATTGGAGAGTTTCATGTCCCTGTGGTGCTCAGTGTTCCATGACTCACTGTCCTTTGTTCCTGTCAGCGGTTCTTGCAGTGGAAAGCCAACATATTGCTGGCATTGTCACTGATTGGTGCTACTAGAACTTTTGATGGATGAACCCTGTGTTGGATTGATCTGGTTTGACTTCCAGGAACGAGTTTTCCATGTCCGTAAGGATGTTCTCCAGGTCTCCTGGAGGTTTTCCCAAGGTCATTTGATTATTTCCATGACTCCTTTAAGTGCACAGGTCCCTGTGGTAGTTAGGCCGGTTCCAGGCTCCAGGTTCCAGGTTCCAGGTTCCAGGGGTCTTTGAATGGTTTCCAGGGCACTGTGGAATGATGAAGGTCAAGAGGTTTGTCAAAAAATGGAAAAATCCTAAACTGGAAAATCCTTATCCGCACACACACACACACACACACACACACACACACACAGAGCACTTGTATTCAGGCACTTTAGAGCTGTCAGTATTGATCGACTCAAACAGAAAGAGACAGAACAGGAGGGCGGCCAAAAATCTCCATGGATCAAATACACACACACACACACACACAGTCTCTGTCCCTCACACACACACTCACACACAGACACACACTCACACAGGGATGAAACACAAACCTTCTGTTTTTTCGTTTCTGTGAGTCTCTGCCAACAATGTGCTCATTAAAGTGAAATAACATGTCGACATGTTCCTTCCTATACAACACACGTGCACACACACGTGCACGGACGCACACAACATACACACACACACACAGCGGGCCTTTGTAAGCTCGCTACAAATGTCTGGAAGTCATTTCTGTCCAATGAGCTCTGGGAGACGCTGAGCGGCAGCTGTAAGAGGAGGAGGAGGAGGAGGAGGAGGATTCAGGAGCTGAGCGCAGAGGTTCTGAAGGAGGCTCCCCAGGGAGGGGGGAGTAGTGGGTGTGGGCCAGGGTAGGAGGTGAGGGTGGTCTGGTCTGGTGGAGAACCTGACATCTGTGTTTCTTTAAAGGATGTAAAGGAGAACAATGAGAAGGAAAGATTGATCAGGTGACGTCAGGAAGGTGGACGAGGCTAACAGCGTTTTAATGGACGTTAGCTTTAGCCTCTTACACAGGTTAGCCGTGCAGTGTTGGTCACATTTTAGCAGGACTTTCTCCAACAGCGAATGACTCCTTTGCATCAACTATTATTTCCCAGAAGTCATGTTGTTGTCATTCCTCGGACTCGTTCCAGAACAGTTGTTATGACACCCACAGGTAAACAATCTTAGCTTGGACTGTCTGGCTCGGCATCTGTCTTTGATCTGATAAGAACAGGGAATGAATCAAACTGCTGGCTGTGAAAGGGTTTACATTTTTAGCACAAAGTCCTGCTGTGAATTCAGCAATGTTAGCGGCAAAGGTTCCAGCCACAGGGGGCGCTGTGTGTGCGTCAAAGTCAAATTTAGAAGACATTGCTTGAACTAAAACTTCAAAGTTACTCCGACATGTGTAGCATCCATATTTACTTACAGACTGCCCCCCCCCTCCCCCCCCCCCCCAACCCCCCCCACCTAAGAAAACATATACACACACCTGCTCGGCATCTGTCTTTGATCTGATAAGAACAGGGAATGAATCAAACTGCTGGCTGTGAAAGGGTTTACATTTTTAGCACAAAGTCCTGCTGTGAATTCAGCAATGTTAGCAGCAAAGGTTCCAGCCACAGGGGGCGCTGTGTGTGCGTCAAAGTCAAATTTAGAAGACATTGCTTGAACTAAAACTTCAAAGTTACTCCGACATGTGTAGCATCCATATTTACTTACAGACTGCCCCCCCCCTCCTCCTCCCCCTAAACCGCACACACATAAGTACACATATACACACACTTGTCACAGGGCAACTGTTTGCTCAGACTCAGGTTTCAGTCCCTGTCAATCAGACTCAGCTCCTCAGGCTCACTGTCCCCTCTGACCTTCAGCTTGTGTGTTTGTTGTTGCTGAAAACACCGGCCACACGTCGTCCAGCAGCCAATCAGGAGCAGGAGTTCTATCACCTAAAGATGGGGTGAGGTTCACCGTAGACCATGATCATCTCTCTCTCTCTCTCTTTCAGGTCTGCTGTGTGTCTGTCACTCGCTCGTCCCTCTCTCACCTTGGTCCTGATAGCGCAGCCACACTGAGGTCAGGGAGCAGAGTCAACAGTATCGATGTCTCAGTGATTCCTTGTCGGTTCACATCATCTCTGAATCTCCTCATAAGAAACAGTGCCTGGGACTGTGACCTCAGGCCTCTGAACTCAGAATCAGGAATTGTCTCGGTGCAGGTCTGGAAGCCTGGAGTTTGTAGGTCAGGAGGCTGAAGGTGTTTTAGTTTTTTAGGGCCAGCAGTGACGGTGCACTCATGTCGGAGTTCAGTGAAACCTTCCTCTGTCGTCAAGATTATGTTTAGGACTGGCTCAAATGTGCCCTTCTGGAGGCCTGGACCGCTGGGGGAACTCCCATGATGCACTGATCACTCTATCCACCTCATTCGATAGACTTTCCCTGTCTGGATAGAAATCTCCTTCCAATAGAAACTCTCCAAACTGTTTTATGTCGCTGCAACTTTTCAAACCTGAAGCTGAAGTTTTTGAACCTCTCCTATATATATAAATATAAATATATATCCTGATTTCTGTGAGGTCTGTCTGTTTCCTGTTCCTGCTGTCTGCTGTGTGGGGTTAATCAGATTAGTCATCACACTCACCTGTGTCTCTGTCTCACTCCTGTCACCTCTCACTCTGTCTTGGTGGGATCATTGTTCAGTTTGACTCTGTGGCCATGTCTTGGCTTCCTGCAACCCAGTGAGTTTTTGTGATTTTTTTTTTGCATTTTGTGAATGAACTACCGACACCTGTAAGGAGTCTCACTGGTCCTGCCCACTTCCTGTCATGTCGATACCACAGGCTTTCTTGGAGCTGCTGGTGGAGCTGTTGACTCATTCTAAAGAAAAATGTCACTGAGGTTTATGTGAGTGAAGGTCTGCAGAGGTCAAAGTGAGAACTTACTGACAGAGGCAACAAACTCTGTGGACTTTTTTCTATCGCTGGTGTTTTCTATGGATTTTGGTGAAGTCACTCTACCTTCAGTTTCCTGTTGGACCCGGCTGTCTGAAAGTTAGATGAGCTATTGATTCTGACTATAGGATTTTGAAGCCTTCTGGTGAGTACATTTTCATTAGCTGCGCTAAAATCTGTTTTTTGTGTTAGTGCTGGCGGCCATGTTGTCACTGACAGCCAGATTGCGGAGATTCAGGCTAACTATGTTATTATGTGTCAATCCCTCAAACAGCCACCCTTCAAAAAAAAACCTTAACTATCCCTTCAAATGAGAGACAGATCTGCTTCAGCTGCTGTGTTTCCACTACAAAAGGAAACCAGCCTTCACTCTGCTCAGAGTCAGGGGTAAAGTTTTGGTCACTGACAACAACGTTTCCAGATGTCATTACGATTTATCGTCTCCGCGCTGCCCAAATACAGCGGGAATAAAAACCTCAAGGCGGAAAGATGGACTTTGTGTTTGAATCTAACAATAGTCGGGTGGTTCTCGTTAGCTGCCCTTCATGTCCTGATTCCAACATGTCTGCTGTTTTTCAGACAATGAGAACGTTAACGTCCACTTCCTGTGTGCAGGCCTGAAAGGCGGCGCCATACAAATGGCCACAAATGAATCAGTCAGCATTTTAGTCATAATAATGACGAGCAGCTGGATCCCAGGCTGACTTAAAAGAGACCATTTCATTGTCTCCTCACAGGTAATCCAGCTTAGCTTAGCTTCACAGTGTTAGCAACTAGGCAACAGGTGCTAACTAATGTTAAGAAGGAGCCTAATGGGACAAGGACCTTAAAGTAGTGAACAGCTTACTTCATTTTACAAGAAAAGTGAAATAAACTTTGGTGCTGCAGCTGAAATCAGGAAACCACAGGATAAAGCATGAAATCAGTGTAACTGCAAAAAAAACCTGACTTTACTCAACCAGCTGGGGGCAGCTGAAATTCTTTATCTTAGCAAAGCAAACTAGCTTAGCCTAAAGACTTGAATAAGTGTAAAGACAACATTTTGTGTGAAAACTGCTTAACACTTAGCATTAAAATGGTTATGCTAAACACTGGAACTAGTTTAGCTTAGCATTAAAATGGACTGCTAAGAAAGAGTTACCGAACAAAACCTTGAGACTGAAGAGGGATGAGGTTGAACAACAGTGGGACAGCTGTGCTTCAACTCGTCATGTTTACAACAAAAGCCTCCATAGGGCAAATGTAGACTGGATCTGGACTGGAGGACATCATCTGAATAGGACGTCTGTATTAATGAAAACACGGCTTTTATCAGACACGCTGTGATTAACGAGCACCAGCAGCAGCTTTTCTCTCTTTTGTCGCGGTGACGACAGAGCGCCCTTTGCCAAGTCTGAGCTCAGCTCCTGAAATGAGCGTCTGGCTGCAGGACAGATGAAACTCAACAGATAGGACACAAATATTTTACACTTCCAAATGTCCTTGTGTCTTTTTAGTGTCCTGCTGGGACACCGTTAAACACTGGTGTTGTGAAGGAGATGGATTCTCCTCATCCTGTGGGAAGAACAAACCACAGAGTGACTTTAGAAGTGACCTCTGACTCTGGACTTTTTTACTTCTTCTTTCATGGCAGTGAAGAAGAGCGAGCAAGTTTTCCTGAAATGCAGGTTTATTAAAAAATACACCATTCTGCTTCCATCATCAAATGTCGGGTACAAAAAGTGCTACAATACAAAAGCCAGAAGAGTCGTACGTTCTAACAGTTCCAACAGTTTACAGTGATTTAACCTGAGGGAACTCCCACACTCAGGGATCGGTCCATGGACTCTGTTCAGACAATGACTGTTCTCAACATGTCACTGGTTCTGTTAGACGTTCCATTGAAGTTCGAGTGAGGCCTTGGTGTCAAGTCCACTTATTATAACCACCTTTGGTCTGTTTTAACTATGAATTCATATCAGTGGTGGTGCAGCTGCTCATTTTGCTCTTCTCTTGTTTCAAGGAATCTCATCACAAGTGGCTTCACAATAAAAGGCAGTTCCGCGAGTGTGAAATGAAGAAAATTCCAACTGAAAGTCTCCCAGTTTTCCTAGGGGAATTTCAGAACCTGAAGAATGAAAAGTTTCTGTAAAGTATATTCACAAAGATTTCCTTAAAAGTTTCTGATTCCTGAGGCAACCTTGAATATTCTTCACTGCTATCAAAAGACAACAATACAAACTGGTTTTACTGGCAGCTGTTCAGATTGTCACATGACACCTGCTTTTGGGACGTTCCATTGTTGCTCAGTGAGTTTTTCCCATGATCCCGAGATCAAGCAAGTTTCTTTGGAATTGAAACACATTTTGTTTTGTCCAAAACGTTGTGAAAATGTCAGAGAATTTCATCCAAAATACCTGGAGTACTGTCTGTAGAAGTACGTCCACTGGAACTTTCCCTTTCTCTCTTTTGGCCTCAGCTGTAGTGAAGCTGTTCTTGTGTGATGGACAGGGACTGGAGCCAATCACTGCTGTGCTTCAAAGCAGTGGCCGTGGCTTAGTAACAACTGCAGTGATGAACGTGCAACAAGAAACTTTTTGGGTCCACTGAGGAGGGCTCATTGAAGGACCAATCCGGTTCCAGTTCCTGAGCAGTGGATTGGCTGTAGTGGTTTGGCAGGGCGGGGCTGTGCACGTCCTGAGTGCTGACGAGCCACCAGTCCACGAAACTCCAAAAGTCTGACTGTGGGTGTGGCTCAGTCTGATTGGTCTGATTAAAAAGGACAGGGTCATGTACGATGATGTCGCAGCAGCGCTCAGTTTCTTGAAGAATTCTTTGTGCTTTTTTTTTTTTTACAGCCACAAAGAGCGTGTTAATGTTCCAACTGTCAGGGGACGGAGTCCTGCAGGTCCTGAGGCTTTCTGATTGGTCAGATGTAAAAGTCCATCGAGGATTAGCTCTGCGTCCCCAGTGTTGTTGTATTGGACGGTACGGCAGAACACAACTGTGATTGGTCAGTAGAGCAAGGTGGGCGGAGTTTTGTGTATCCTGAGTGTTTGAATGGAGGAGAGGATTTTCTTCTGGTGACCAGCGAGGGTCACGCCCACTCGCAGCAGGTCTCTGTGGAAACAGGGAGGTTTAGAACCCAGAGGAACCAGATCATAAAGTACCGTTAAAGCAGTGCACACTATAAGTTCTAGTTTGTACAGTTCCTCCAATCAGAAGAGCACTGAGGAAACGAACAGTCCTAATACCAACCCATGCTACAGTATCAGTACCTCTGAGAATAACCTGGAGAATACTCTGGACCACACCGTGGACGACCATGAGATTCATCACAAAACTGACATTTTTAGATTCTATCTGAAGCATTTCATTGAAAACGTAAGATCCATGTTGGTGGAGAGAGAGTGTGTGTGACGTGTACGTACTCAGTGGTGAGCTGGGAGACGAAGTCCAGGCTGGTGAAACCAGCCTGCAGGAAACTCAGCTCGTATCGTTCCATTTTTATGGCTCTGAGCCACTCAGAGACAGAACCACAGGCAGAAAGAGGTGGAGGGACACGCTGGTCTAACAGAGGCTGTGAGGAACTGAAAGACAGCCAGGACAGGATTAATGACACTCCAAACTACAACAACCAATATACCTGCACAACAATACTATCCTGTTCAGCTAGGACCAGCGTTGAGGGGACCTAGGTACCACAAGTGAACTGGGTACCACAGTTTGAGAACCATTGTGGCCTTTGTTTTGTCCAAGCTCACTTTTGGACTTCTGGAGCCAACTTAACCTTTGGTGCTTCCTCTGGTTTCAGTTGATCTCAGGAATTTGAATTCCCACTGTCCCATTGTCCATGTCCTCAAGCTAAGCTAAGTTAGCTTTCAGCAGACTGAAGACAGACTTTCATCCAGGAATGTGACCTGCACTGCACCTGCTCATGTAAACAACCCCGGTCTGTGTAAACAGCTGTCATTCACATAGCTGGCTGCCCCACAAGCCACGCCCACTGCCCCACTCTCACTGATCTTTGAACTCTGAAGTCCCCAGCTGGGGAATGAATGAGATTCCACAGCTGCCAATCAAATCTCCCCTCCCCTCGCTCCATAACAAGGCCCACTTTAGACTCACCTCGGCCCCTCTGGGTGCGTCACCTTCAGCGAAGCCGGGTTCCGTATCAGCCTATCAAGAGAAGCAACCACATCGCAGAACCTCGGCCGATTGGCTCGTTCCTTCTGCCAGCAGTCCAGCATGAGCGAGTGCAGAGAGGCGGGACACTCTGGCGGCGGGGGCAGCCTGTAATCCTGCTCTATGGCGTTGATCACCTGAGACGGAGGTAAAGCAGTCCTTCAGTTATTTCCTGTTTTACATCAGCACCCGTCCACACACGTCTTATTTTCCTGTCCTTACGTCCTGGTTGCTCATGTCCCAGTACGGCCTTTCTCCATATGACATCACCTCCCACATGACGATGCCGTAACTCCAGGCATCACTGGCAGACGTGAACTTCCTGTCATGATACAAAGTGAAGGTTACGTAAACATTTTAGACCAGAGTAGTTGAGCGCACGTGGAGGGTCCACGCTCACCTGTAGGCGATGGCTTCAGGAGCCGTCCACCGGATAGGAATTTTACCACCCTGGAAAAAGACGCAGAGTCAGTTTTTTATCAGTATCGTTAGCTAAATAATACAAAAACAAAAACTCTTGAAGACCCTGGCACTGATGACCGCGGTTTGTCCACGGTTTGAAACTCTTTCTGTGGTCCAATGTTTATTTCCTAAACTTATTTTGTATTGGCCCAGTGGCTTTTCATTTAGCTGGTTCTCAGCTAGCTTTTATTTATTTGAGCAATTGTTAGCTCATTGTTGTTAGCCTAGTTATAGCTATAATTTAAATGCTTTTTTATATATATTTTGACTAAATAGCAACTTATTTTCATCATTAACTGTCTGTACATTTTTTATTTTATTTTGCATATTTTAGCCAAAATATATTTTTTATGTTAATTTTTTTTTTGTTGGCACTTGTTGCTTTTGTATCTTTGAGTCTTACTATTTGCACCTTTCAATATTTCCAACCAATTACTTCTAAAAATTACTTTCTTCTTTTAAAACTGTTTGATACATTTAAATCATTTTGGTCCAATGACTGCTGTCTGGTTCATAAGAAACCGCTTCTTTCAGTTTTTCTTAGATCTAAGACTTTTGGTGCCTTACACACTCGGATGTGGACATGTTTTATGAACTGTTCTTTACAAAACCTTCCAATCTGTTACCTGCCTGTTTTCTGTTATTTAGCTAACATGAAGCTAGATCTGTGATTCTTTTGTGGCTGTTAACGGCACATTTTTGCAGTTAAAAAAAGTTGCAGGCTACCTGTCACTTCATTGATTCAGAAAACATTTTACTGAGAGGTGAATCATTTCCGTGGTCCTTACCAGAGAGCTGGTGTACGTCGGATCTGAGGAGTTTTCTGTTAAAAAGCGGCTGAGACCAAAATCTGAAACCTAGAGACAGATAATTGTTAGGAGAAGGACTAGGTCCACAGTTGGACAGAAGAGCATTGAGTCGCAGCGGCAGATTGTCTCACCTTACAGACCAAGTTGGAGTTGACCAGAATGTTCCGAGCCGCCAAGTCTCGATGGACAAAACTCATGTCCGACAGGTACTTCATGCCAGCAGCGATGCCACGCAACATCCCCACCAACTGGATGGTGGTAAACTGTCCGTCATTCATCTGTGGGGTGAGACAGACAGTGAGACAGGTGGCACTGAAGTCTGCTGCTGATTTTTGAAGGTCTGAATCTTTGCCCATCTCACCCTCAGGAAGCTGTCGAGGGCGCCATTCTCCATGAATTCCGTGAGTATCATGACGGGACAGGACGTGGTGATGACACCTTCCAGGTGGATGATGTTGGGGTGCTGGAACTGTCCCATGATGGAAGCCTCGGACAGAAAGTCCCGCCTCTGCTTCTCGGTGTATCCGCCCTTCAGAGTCTTGATGGCTACATAGTTTTCCTTCCTGCCTGGAACCCTAAGACGTCCACGACAGACCTCACCAAATTCACCTGGACAAGAAAAACTAAGTTTAGAAGAGAAGCAGGAGGACCCCGTCCCATTTCCTAAAATGACACTTTTGAAATAGAAGTTGAGGGTGCTGAGCAGTCAGCGCTCACAGTTGTCTGATTTATCCTTTACCACATCTGAACTGGAGGCAGGTTTGTCTCACTCAAATGTCCAGAACACTCTGCTTCGGTCATTGTGGACTACTAGTATTGTTATAACATCGAACTATCTATCCAGAGAACATGTCACTGATGTTTTGTCTAGTGTTTGTCAACAGTGCAGTGACTAGAAAATATGAAAGGATTTAATAGATATATCATCTTCACATTACCGAAGCTCCGCTGATGTTCAAAGACAATGAGAAAAAAAACAACGTCAATGGGCTGAAGATGGAACCCTGAGGGACTCCACATTCAGAATGACAGATGAGGTCACAAACAGCCAATCACAGCCAGTCCTGATGACGCTGAACCAGAAGCCCAGAACGGGGTCTGTAGCCCAGACAGGTGTCGTGTTCCTTAAGGGGCTCATTGACTCATGCCAACATGTTGACGTGTCTGTGAGCTGGCGGCGTAAAAATCGTACACCCTCACTGCTGTCCTGAACAGAGACAGCTACTGTAACAGTGGCTACACACAGAGACACACAAGCTTTTAATAAAGCTGGGGTGTGTGTGGAGTGTGAACACAGGCTCTTCCTGATGAAGGGAAATCAAAGGTTCCTCTAATTGTGAAGGTGTCAAAGGTTTTAAGACAACTGTTTTTCATTCCAGCAGCCGTAACAGGAAGGAGAAGAGGAAAAACTTTACATGTGCTGCAGAAACCGTTTCAGCGTTTCTGTGATCTACGCCCTCGTCATACAAGAACAGTCTTAATGTCCAGTTATCAAGGCAAACATTTGCCTTTCTGAAAATAATCTGTTTTTTTTTTTGTCATATGCAGCTACCGTTCTCATTAGTGTGACTAAGCTTTATCTCCACCTAACATTTAGACCTTGTATCCATTTTGCTATATACAGTACGTTTAAAATAAACTAGTCACCTGCTCCGATCACCTCCTCGATCTTCACAAAGGACGCTTCGATCTCTTTGGCGAACTCCCTCACGGCTTCATTGGGATCCTCGTAGGTGAATGGGTCGATGTAAACCTTCATTGCTGTGAAGGAGGATGACGTCATCAGTTTCATCGGCTTCATCTTGTTGATCATTGGTGACAAAACAAACACTGTTGGAGGACAAAACTCACTCTGTCCCATGGGGAAGTGTCCACCTTTGTCACTGATGTTGGAGCGAGTCCTCCTCCTGCTGGGAGAGAGACAGATACAGAGGGAGAGAGAGGGGGAGAATGTTCGAAAGTTTAAGAGATCTTCAGTTATTTTTGCAAGTTATCTTTTGCTTTTGGATTTTTGGATTCCCCTACACACACAGTCTCTCTCTCTCTCTCTCTCTAAGGAATGTTATTATCTCTCTATCGCTCCATCTCTCTCAGAGTGTCGAATTTCTACTTCTTTATATAGTCGATGTGTCCCACCCTGTGTGTGTGTGTGTGTGTGTGTGTGTGTGTGTGTGTGTGCAGGATGCTCCCTCCCAGCTTCCCTCAACAGAACAATACAACGTTGACCTTAGGTTCACACACGCACACACACTCACCAGTAACAGTACACAGTGACCATTACTGCAGCGATGAGCAGCAGGATCCCCATGGAGACCAGAACCACAGTCAGAACCAGCTGAGCACTGTTCACACCTACAGACACAGATCAACAGTCAGTGACTTCAGACAAGATCCAAAAACAACACATTTCATAGTATGACAGGGATTCTAGTCTAGAGAAGGTCCAGAAGGTCCACAGACACTGTGAGTGGGTGATCAGAGGAACTGTTTCAGAAGCAGACCCTAACCCTCCTCGTGAGTGGGCTCGTACCATCAGGTTGGGTGCTGAAGGTGCTGCTGCTGCTGAAGGATCCATATCCAGCCTGGGACCGAGCCCGGACCTGCACCTGGTACTGCGTCCCCTGCTGCAGCCCGGTCAGCACCATCGAAGAAGACTTGCTGGTCACATACTCCCACCGACCCGCCTCGTCGCCATCCTGATGATGACATCAGCACTGACATCACAATCACTCCCATCAACAATGTCTGTCTGTGGGTCTGTGGACTTACCTTGGGACTGTAGCGGAGCTCATAGTCCAGGATGCTGTGCTGGTTCTGCAGAACTGGAGTATTCCACTTCAGAGTAATAGTAGTCTCTGTAGACACGGTTCTCTTTAGGCCAGACACTGGAGCAGGAACTAACGACAGCCAATCAGCAGTCAGTAAAAGGTTGTCACAGATTACCTCTACCTGTTTACATTCTATAGGTTAGCTAGGAATGTTGGGTAATACCATCTCTGCTGGTGGTGATGTTGACTTTGTCGGAGGCTGGCTCTGATTGGCTGAGAGCAGAGACACCGTTCAGTGCTTGGATGGTAAAGGTGTACGCTGTGTATGGCTGGAGTCCCCAAATGACAACGCGACCCTGGGTCAGACCTCGTTGCATTGGACGGTACAGGGTGCTGTCATCACATGGGAAACAAGAACTGACCGAACCCTGCAGAGAAGACAGATGGGGTGGTGGGGTGGTGGTCCAACACGGTCTTCTACCAGAGAACCTTTAGGTCAATCTAAAAGACTGGTCTCACTGGGCCTCTTACACCTGCTCTACCTGGTCTAGAACTCTTTATCAAACCATGTTCTTTCTGATTTAACTGTCTAACCTCCTCTGGGTCCATCTTGTCTTGTTGGACCTGGTGAACCTTGTGTCTCAACCTTCTTCATCAACCAGATTCCTAACCCTAAACACTAATCCTTGACCTTTCTAGTCTTTTCGGTCTACGTAGCTTTTGCTTTCTCTGATTTAACTGTTTTTATATTGACCTGGTCCACCTGGTCTGAGTCTACGTGGTCTTAGGGTTCCTTGGTCTACTTGATCTACCAATTATGTCCACCTTGCCTGGCTGATCCTTCATGTCTTAGGGATTTACCTTGCTTGTGGTCCTGCAGCTGGAGCACAGGACGCTGTAGGTAAGGTCCACACGACCTCCGCGGTCCAGCGGCTCACTCCATTCCAGGGTCACTGTGGTGTCATTGACCTGACTCACAATGGAGCGGGGAGCTGAGGGCGGTCCTGGGGTCAGGGTCAAAGGTCAGTGGTTAAGACTTTGTAAGAATATCTGTGTGTGTGTGCACTACACAACCGTACTGTCAACAATCACAGGTGGAACACTCGTGATTAAAAAACCATGCCTAGTCCCAACCATGTCTGGTCAGACAAAGACACACTCAGTTTGGGACTAAGAGTGGTGGGTTGGTGTCATGTGACCCTGCAGTGAACTGTGATTGATGGCAAACACTGACAGGTTTTTACACATGAATTGGTAAGAAGGGTTAAAGAGGACTTTTATTTTGAAAAACAATCTTCACTGAGATGTCATCGGTTTGTCTTCTGTCCTTTGACTGATGGACGCCCTGAGTGATAAGAGACTCTTTGAGGTAATGAGCCTTTTAGTTTGTGCTAATTGTTGTTGCCTGGAGGCCATGTAAGACTTGAGGGGCCCAGAATATAATAGAGGAGGTCTGGGGACCTGCCTTTGTGTGTGTGTCATTCCAAGGTATGTTTTACCTGGTCAGATCTACTCCCACCCCCTCTCACCCCCAACCCTCCACCCTGGGACGGGGGGGCTCTGCTGCAGCTCTGTCTGATCAGTTATCTCCACTGAAGAATGTACTTCTAACAGTGAGGTCACACAGTGATACGTTGGGATTCAGTTAGACTCAGTGCAGTGTTTCAACTACTGTCTCCATGAACTCTGGTGTATGTGAGTGACACACATCTCTTTAGAATTGCTTCAGTGTGTCAGTGTTGTAATCATCACTATTAACGTATATGTCTGTTTTCCAATAAAACACCCAGTTCTCCGGGTGCATTGTGGGAAATGACGCTCTTAACCAACGACAGAACTCGTGCAGAAACTGCTGGACTTACTGGTGCATGAAGCATGTGGCGGGTCAGAGTCGGCCCGGTAGTAACCGGAGTAGCAGGGGCAGTAGGCGGAGCCTGGAACCTTGGTACTGCTGTAGGTTGGACAGGCCCGACAGCCACTGGGTCCTGACCCTGACTTAAAATGGTCCGATGGACAGGCTGAGGGGAGACACAGGTCATCATGATCAGCTTTTTTCACTTCCATTTCTCATCAGACAACGCCGCTGCTGAAAATAGTCCACGCTAATGTTTGTCCAACAGTGAGGACAGATTTATGTTTTCAGTAGGAACCACAGAGGAGGAGGAACGGTGTTAAAAGATGGACACATGAGACTGAGTCCAGCAGACACGTCTTTGTTTTCCAAACAATAATGCGACGGTCGTCCGGATGAGGAAGATCACAGAGTGAGAGAGAGAGAGAAGGACGAAACAATCAGAGACAGGAAGTGACCTTGGGCTTCAGCGGGATGTGGAAAGTCCTGCCATGATGTCACCGCGCCAACCCCTGCCAAGCTACAGTCACGCACACACACACACATTCGCACCACTGTCCTGCAGGGGCGCAAGCAGCACGAGTTAACCTCTGACCCCTTTTCACTCAGCCAGGCTATTACCCCACCCCCACCCCCTCTTCCTGACCCCTAACCTGACCCCGTATGCCAGAGCCACCGCTGCAGCACATCCTGGCTGCAGTCAGATGACCCCTGACCCCACAGAGAATAACAGGAAGCTTCGACAACCAAACCGTCTGTCGCCTCGCTGCTTTCATCCACCACCAACAGCAACATGCAGGGCTGCATTCCACTTAGATTAGTGTGTTTAATGTGAGGCTGTATTCTGCAGTTGATCTGTGTGTGTGTGTGTGTGTGCGAGAGAAAGATTCTGTTTCTCTCTCGCAGCGTGAGATCAATACATACTGAGAAAGAACAGAGACAGAGGAATGAAGAAAAATGTCTGGTCTCTCTGGACAGACAAGACTCTGTCTCTGTTACTTTAATATGTCGTTCCCCACTCTGCTTCCTCTGTCAACACATGTCTCTCTCTCTCTCTCTCTCTCTCTCTCTCTCTCTCTCTCTATGTCTAATCATCTCCAGCCTCTGTTTAAACCACTGGCCCCTGTTTATACTGTGTGTGTGTGTGTGTGTGTGAGGAATTTGGAGTGGTAGCAATGATAACACGTGCACTCACACACACTCTCGGCTTTTTTATTTCGAGCACTGCCTTTTCTGGAGCTTTTGTTTTGAAAATAATCTATTTATAATATAAAACATTTTCTCACCTCGGCACCGCACCTCGGACTCCAACGCCTCGTACCCAGGACGACAGGCGCAGCTCGATGTCGGCTGACCCACCCACTGACCGTCCTCGCCGCAAAGCATGCTAGGAGGTCTGGTCTGCACTCCTGGTGGCGTCACAGCGTTCTCAACACACACGCCTTGAGCCTGCAACACACATTTAGAAAGTTTCCAAAATGAAAAAATCAATTAAAGACCTGTTTGGTAAGGCTTTTAATTTGTAACGTTTATACTACAGCTTTATTTTTATGACTTAAAACGTCAGGCAAGACATGAACAGGGCTTATTTAGGTAAATTAACTATGCCGCCTGTATGGAGATACTCTTATTTTGTATCTAATTCAAATTAAAAATTAAATTTAATTGAAAGGGTTTATATGATAAAAGCTGTATTCATAACTATAACAAAAACACTCTTATTTTGTCTTTTGTTTTTGCACAAACAGTGAACGTTTCATTACAGAGCTTTAATTTTGGAAACACCTAACACTAACGCTACAGTATTAATATTGTTGTGTTTTTCAAAATAAATGTTTGTTGTCTGATGTTTCTGGTGCATGCTGGGAGCTAACAGCAAAGTTACCTGTTCCACCAGAGAGTGGGGGATGGTTTCGGGGAAAGCGGCGAAGGCACGACGGAGCTGCGGACACTTCCTGTAGAAAACACGTACAGACAACAGGGCCATGCAGGTGCCCTGGCTCTGGAAGGCCAGGTACAGACCTGCGGCCCTCAGGGGCCCAAGTCGCAGCAGTTTGACGTTGGAGCGTCGGTCGCCGCCTGGACGCAGCAGGTGGTCGGCGGCGACCGTGGCTACTTTGGTGTAAGGGTTCTCCATCCAGGCCGGCTGTGTGGGCGTGGCCACGTCACTGTCAGACTGGTAGTAAAACAGGTTGAAGGTTTCTTTGCAGTGACGCTGGTTCAGTCCAGAACATTCCATCATGGTGAACCGAATCTCCACATACAGTGTGGTGGCGGCGCGCCTGGGGATCCAGCGAGTCCTGAGCCAATAAGAGGACGGACTCTTGGGGGTGCAGATCTGATAGGTCCTCACCATGTTGAACTCATCGTCCAGTCCGCTCATTTCCTCCCACTGCAGACAGAGGGTGTACATTCGCATGGATTAGCATGATAAATCCTAGCTCGGGGCTAACAGGTTCGCGTGTTGGTACATGTACCTGATGGTCGTCAGCGGGATGGTTCGTCCACCGCAGGTCGGTTGTTTCTGACTTTGTGTTCATCAAAACCTCTAAGAGACAGACGGGAAGCTTCAGTCAGACAGGTATGGAAACAAAGACACCAGTCACCAGTCTTAGTGCTAAGGTAGGCTAACAGGCTACACCTCTGAGAAAAGTACTTTTTAATTCCAAGATGAAATGTCTTTCAGAGAAACAGAATATTAAACATTTTCAGCTTCGCCGTCTTATGTCGATGATCACGTTCTGTAGTTGAGAGTTCATGAGCCACACTTTTATCACTAACTATGGAAAATACCGTATTACTAAATTCTGTTGTGGATTAAATATTCTAGATTTGAATTGTGTTCCAGGAGATAATCCTAAATTATGCTGTCCATGTTATGAAGTTTTTTAGATTTAGGTCTAATCCATGTCCCTAGTTTTCTCCAAATTGATCAAGGACCTGTGCATCAGGTTTAATCCAGGACTTTATCATCTCTAGTGCTGGTGTTAATTCTAAATTATAACTTCCAAGGTCAAATCTTGGATTTAATTTTTTTTAACTTTAGGTTTTAATCATACTATATATTTTTTTTCTTGAACACCTGGACTAATTGCACTTCCTGTATTAGTGTGTCATTGGTGATGCATCATGGGTAGTCTGTATTTGTGCTGTTGCTAAGATGGTAGTTTAACAGTGAGTGTGTATGAGACTGTGGTTGGTCATTCCTCAGCTGCTGCTGAGCAGAACTGCTACTCTGTAATTACACACGTGCACACACACGTGCATGACCCTGTGTGTGTGTGTGTGTGTGTGTTTGTGAGGATTCAGGTTTCCTCCTGCAGGATCCTCGCAGGTTCAGGTGTCTGATCGCCCGCAGCACCTAAATGTCTCACTGATCACGGCCTGTGTCGACACCGCAGGCTGTGATGTCACGTTGATGATGTCATGTCATGTGATGTGTGGTGTTTAATAAAGTAAGGTATCGATCAATGAGCAGCTTGAGAAAAAAAAACGTTTAGAGGAATAGTGTCCGGAGGTCAGGGTAAAAAAACTCTAAAAGCTATAAACTGATGGCCTTCAGCAGCAGGTCAGGGGTTCAACACCCGGACCAACCGTCAGTGTCTTTCCTGTGCTGTCTCACAGAGACGTAAAAATGTCTGCCCTGACATGATCACACACACACACACACAAGCATGCACGTGTGTGTGTGTGTGTGTGTGTCTTGTATAAACATCCTCATTCTTGTTCTGCAGTCTTATCACCAGATACACCACTTACAGTGTGTGTGTGTGTGTTTTTATGATCTGGATTTTCAACTGCTATAACGACTGTCATTAAGGCCATCATTTTTTCTAAGTTTACATTTTACTCAATTTGTTTTTACAACATCTGCCAGTGAGTTTCAACTAAACTCAACCTCAGCTCACTCAGCCCTGAACACGAGGACACGTCAGTTCAACTCAATAAAACAAAACGTGAATACGCTCAGGAAAATTAGACAATGTAAATGAAACCGTAATTGGGATAAAGTCAAATCTGTGTGGTCACATATTTAAACTTAAATGAACCTGAAAATTCGGTTTATCTTATCTTCAAATCTGAAGCTAATCTAAGGTCACGTTAACTCAGCGCACTAGGTCAATTAGGTTGATATTTTGTCAGTAAAGCTAGACTTTTAAAAAAAAAAACTTTCCTCCACGTTTAACCCAAATTAAACCCAAACAGGCCAATCCTGCCTATGCTATGGAGAAATAAACCCTGCATCTAGATTGTGATTGTGGAAGTAAAGTTAAACTAAATTTAAGTATGAAGTGAAATTTTGGAAAACTTTGGAAACACTGCAAATAAAGGGATTTCAGGTTTTCTCACTGCATGTATTCAAAACTAAAGCTGCAGTAATTTAAAGTGTGTCAATCCAGATTTGGTTTTCTCAAACAAATAAAGGGATTTGTGTCAATCCAGATTTGGTTTTCTCAAATAAACTCCAAATTAAGCAAAAGGATACACTAAAATAAACTGTGGACACTTCAGTTACCTAATCTTCAGACTCAGTTTTGCATTACACTGACTTATCTTTACTGGTTAATTAACTATACTGACTTATTTGGAAGACGCTTACCTCAGAGTGATATATTTATGGTCTTGTTCAGATGGATCAAACTTTGTCTTTCTTAATTATTCATTTTTGTTGATATTTCATGTCTACTCTTTAACAACAGCCAAATAAACACGAGGTATATATTTTCACAGATGGTTTTAGAGTGTTGAACACAATCTCATCTTCTGATTAGTTACACCAATCCTCAAACTAACTGAACTTCACATTAATTGGATTAGAGTAAATTACAAGAAAATATGATCACTAATTCACCATTGTGATTTATTACTGTATTATATTATATTATTATATAATATTATTATATGTATTATTATTGTAAGTGAATTAAAGAAAATGTGAATTTAGCTAAATTATCCAAAAAATCACGTTAAATGAATCAATTCCCATGTCAAGTTAAATAAAACAAACAAAAACGTTTATTCAGTTCAATAACACCAAATTGAACTGTGAGGTTTTGTCCCGACCTGTTTTACATTTAACCGTATAAAATTAGAAATGATCTTAGTCAATTCCATCTGCGTTAAACTTACATTAAGTTTATTAAATTCAACTTCATGTAAACAAATAAACTACATTTTAAATCAATTCAACTTAACGTTTATTCATTCTGGTTACCCTGAACTAAACTCTGGAAAAGTTAAGTCGTAAATAAAAATCGCCTGTTGAGTTTAATTACAGTAGTTATCAAAAGAAAACTTAAATTAATCAAAAATAAAAAATTCTAAGCTCACATTAAATAAGGAAAGTATCTTTTTTAAATTAACGAAACTAAACGTTAATATTTTTTGACCATACTGAATTAAACTCTGGAATAGTTTTGTTCAGAGTTGAGATACAGTAATTGTCTCATTGGATTGTCCTAAACCAATTATTAGTCTGAATGATCTCAACTTCAGGTTAAATAAAATAAAAACACGAGATTTTCATGAATGCACCTAAAACAACTAACTACAGCAATTATCTCTTTGAATTAAGATGGTCAACATTTTACATTAATCCCAATAAATGTTAATTTCACAGTTAAAAACAGAAAAACTCTTTCTTGAGTTAATTAATCCAGACGTAATTTCGGTCACTAAACTCGGGAATATTTTAGTCCAAAAGTAACGCGATAAATTAAACAAATCACTGCAGTAATTCATTCAGTGAATGACACTCACGCCAAAGTCAGGATTAATTGTAATAACCCCGACGTCACATCAAGTAAAGAAACGACCTTTTCGGTTCAATTAAATTAACCGTTGTTTCGGTTTAGTTCCACTACTCAACCCAACTCTGGCATAGTTTTGTACAGACTAATTAAACACAGGTTAACTTTTGACAGCGGTTCACGGCAACCTCAGACTAATGACACAATAATAAACTGCAGATTAAACAAACAGAGGTAAGGTTACTGCGTCAACACTTTCCTAAGTGTGTTTATGTTTTAAACCAAACTCCACTTGATTGATTGGGGATTGATTGACAGCTGTCTTGATAAAAATTTTAAAAAAAAAAGCTCAGGATCAATCAATCCTGACTTGTGCGGTCTCTACTGACGTCTGCAGATGTTTGATAACGGACTGACTGATCGTTTCCTGCTGCTGATCACCTTCAAGCCTCAGCCTTATCGAAACAGATATCGATCAGCTCTGACTGTTTCCTCACTGGCGTAGATATGGATCATTAGCCTCCTCTTACCTTCGTCAGCTCCGCAGCGACACAGCAGCAGGAGCAGCTGCGGCAGGAGAAGGAGTCTCAGTCCGCAGGAGAATGAGGCCCGTCCTGAAGACACGCGAACCTCCATCCTGATCCAGTCCCGCCTCTGTTCGATATTCTTCGCCGATCAAAACGATCGATCCCCGATCACTGAGCGTCAGCTGGGCTCTCTCTGCTTCGGCCGATTCATTGGAACTTAGAAAAGTTCAGAGTTGTCTTTTTTTCCTTCGATTAGTGATTCTAAAACGGAATCAGGTCCAGAACTGAGAAGTTTCGCTCGGAACTCAGTCCAGAGAGCGGGGCGCGGCTGCCTCCTGCACCGGGACACGGGCTCCGATAGTCTCCCTCAAAGAGCGGCGAGGGGTCGGTGTTCGGACAGCGGGGAGCAGCGGTGTGTGACAGAGAAAAGCGGTGTGAAGTAATCACCTGAGCGGGTATAGGTGTCTCCAGATCCCACTTCTGATCCTGGCTCTCTCCCCTTCCGTATGTTTGTCAAGTTTTAATCACTTTGTCAGTAGGAAAACTTTGGGACAAGTGCTGCGGGACACTAGTTTGTGACTCCTCCCCTGGAGGAACCTTAGACCACGCCTACCTGAATTCATCGGCTCTGTTTGGCTGAGATACGTGTCAGTCCAGTAGGGGCGGGGCGTGTGTTTCTGTTCTTAGAACCACAGAAAGTAAATATGAGAATCAGATTTATATTATATTATATTATATTATATTATATTATATTATATTATATTATATTATATTATATTATATTATATTATATTATAATTTAGGATAGTATTTTATATTATCCTACAAAGTTAAATTCTAATCCAGTCTAATTTATCACTTGTCTTCAGTTTACTCTACAGAGTTTTTTAACTAAAGTCAAGGTTTTGTGCAGGACAGTCAGCAACATTCACTCAAATGTTCTGGCGATTGTTCTCCATCTTTTTTTTTTTTTTCGTTGTCAAGACTGCTCCACATTGCTTGAGGTTTTCCTCCAGAATTCCTTCCACCCTCATCTGATTCCCAGTTCTGGGTGGACTGAATTATCCCCACGGCACTGTAATCACAATCCAATGACTCGTGTTAACAAAGTTATGAACTAAACTGTACAATAGACTCAAAACTGAAGTTTGTGGGTTTTTTCTTTTTCTTTTTTTACATTTTCTCTCTATAAAAGAACTCAGTCAATGTGTGCACAGTTGAATTTAGAGCTGAGAAGAAGTTTTACTTATCAAACAGATTCCAAAAGAAGTATAAAAAGTTAAAAAAAAAAGAAGGTTTTGTAGAACCTACAGCAACTGATAGACAGTCTGGTCTGAGGAGACTAAACCTAACCCAATAAGATACCTTAAAAATGAAGAAGGAACAGAGAAGCTCAGGACCCAAACATCAGGTTTCTCCCAGACTCAGTGAAGTGGGAGTAATGCTGTGGAGATGCTTCAGTGCATCCAGAAGTGGGAATCGTGTGAAGGTGATTTTCAAAGACAGCCTGAGGCCATCAGCTGTAAAACTCTGCCCTGGTCTTTGTTTGGTTTCAAGTACGACAACAACCTGAAGCCGACGTCAACAGCAGTGAAGACCAGAGGGCATGTTGACCGTGCTGTTGTCTGGATTGTAAAATAAATGTGTAAATTCTTCCAAAGTTCAATTAAAACAGTTGTAGGGGGAAAACAGCAGCCAGGACAGAACATTGTTCTCTCCTGTGATTTTTTAGTAGTGAACACTGAAGGGAACCATGGCTGTTTCTAATGACGACACTGATTTATTTGGTTCTCCTCAAAAAAAAGGTCCCAGAGTGCAGTGTGGTGGTTGTGGCGACAGTTGGTCCAGTTAAGGAAAAACATCACATGGGATCAGACAGATCGTCTTTCCTCCAGAGATGAAAAGGACAGATGAAGTTTTTTATTTTACCTGTGTTCATGCCGACAAGTGAGTGTGTGTGTGACGGGGTGAGGTGAAGCTAATGTGGGGGAAGGGTGTGTGTGCGTTTTATTGAGGAGGTTAAAATTTCACACCTAAAGCTCCATTCACACCAGGTGAGAACCAGAGGGAGAGACAATGATGTCACAGCACTTGAAAGGTGTCACCGACCACAGAGAGGGCGAGAGGGAGGACAAAGGAGGAGGGTCAGGTGTCTGTCTTCCCCCCTGGTCTCCTCCCTCCCTGGGTCTTTATGCTCTTTGTGTGATGAGGTGTGAACGAAACAAGGCAGAGAAACAGGAGGAGGAGGGTGAGGAGGAGAGGCCACAAGATGAAGGCAGACAGGAGGAAAGGAATTAGAGAAGTAATACACGTGAGGAAAATCTGACTGTTGGATATAAGAACATTCCATATTGAGATGGACATGATGTAACATTAATACTAGACATCACACATGAGTCATTTCAGACAAGAAAAATTGCACAATAGAAAAATAAAAATAATGCACATGACACCAAAAACAGAAAGAAGGGTGGAGGAGAGAGAAAGGAAGGCTGTGCGAAGGAGGAGGAAAAGTGAAAGAGTGGAGACTAAAATGGAGGGAACAGAGAAGACAGGGATTGTGGGAACTGTGTGTGTCACTTCTCTGTCAAGCGAGAGTAAACAATAGGAGAGGAAGAGAGGAGGTTGACAGACAGGTGACAGTCCCGCCTCCAACCTAAAGTGCAGGACACTGGAAGGAGGGAAAGAAGGAAAAGAAAATGTTTATTATAATTTGATTTGTAGTTTGGGACTGTTCCTTTAACTCTCTGCCCCCACTCCCCCACCCCACCCCCACCTTCTCGACCCTGGGCATTTGTCTCCATCTCTCTTTCATAATCCAAAACCTGCTCAAGGCCTCTCCAGGATCATTCAAACCCCCCAGACCCTCCTCCAGGTTCTGATCTTCACCTTCTGACTGTCACCTGTTCACCAGTAGCTCAGACACATGAGACGCTTAAACTTTTAAAGTATGTGGCTGAAAGACGACACTGACACGTCTGTCACTTCTGCTGCCCCCTGCTGGACATGGTCAGAATTACTCAGTGCCAATAAACACAACTGTCCAGTTTGCCCTGCATATTTGGTCAGATCATTCAGGACCTTGTTGGAATAGTAACGTGGCCAAGATTCAAAGTCGCACTACACTCTCCAAAGCTGGCAGTATTTCATTTTCTATTGATGGTTCCCCAGTGTCCCCCTCCCCTCAGGTCAAGAGCCTGGGTGTCATCCTCGATAGCTCCCTATCTTTCCACTCTCACATTAACAATACCACACGGTCCGCCTATTTTCACCTTCGCAACATAAATCGCCTCCGCCCCTCCCTCACCTCCCACTCCACCTCGATTCTTGTACATAGTCTCGTCACCTCACGCCTAGACTACTGTAACTCTCTCCTCTTTGGTCTCCCTCAAAAATCCCTCCGTAAGCTCCAAATGGTCCTGAACTCAGCTGCCCGCATCATCACCAAAACCCCGTCATTCCACCACATTACCCCTGTATTACAGGATCTCCACTGGCTCCCCATAAAATTTAGAATCAACTTTAAAATACTCCTCCTCACATTTAAGGCCATCCACTCTCTCGTCCCCCCATATCTGTCCAGCCTCCTCACCGTCGCTACTCCCGTTCGCTCCCTTCGTTCCTCCTCTGCCACCCTTCTCACTGTCCCCTCTGTCCGCCTCAGTACAATGGGGAGTAGAGCTTTCTGTTGCTCTGCTCCCCAACTCTGGAATGCACTCCCCCAAGACATTCGCACTATTGACTCTCTCCCACTCTTCAAATCCAGACTCAAGACCCACTTGTTCAAACAGGCATATTCTCTGTAATTTCAATTTCTGCTTCTTTCTCTCCTCTCTCCCTCTTTACATCTTTTGTCTCTATTATTGTATTTTGTCTCTGTTGTATTTATTTTTTGTTTATTCTATGTTTGTTGTATTTATTCAATGTCTGTGATGTGTCCACTAGAGGGCGACTTTGCTGGATTGTAGAACAATGTGTAAACATACAAAACATTCAACTCTTAAGTACACCAATAATATCAAAGAAAAAAGAAAAGAAAAAACTGCATGTTATCAGACGAGGACAGTCTTTTCCAAAGACTTACCGCATGAGGTGGAATTCTTTTGAAAAACAATAGAATTCCCACTGTGCTGTTATTTTGGTCCTCTTCTTCTCCAGTGTTCTGTTTTCCTCCACCATTGTTTGAATTGCATTGTTAGGATTTTTGCCCAACTGACACATGCAAAGCAGCAATGAAGCAGCAGCTGGTGTTTCACCGCCAGCTAAAAATGTCTCATTTTTTTAAGGTTCTTCTCCTCCAGCAGATAGCACCATGTCTAATCTATCTAATCACCAATGTCTCATACTTTGTTCTTAGCTGGACCAATGTAGCCAAACATTTTACAAAGATAGCTTTAAACGCAGTCTGGATACATGACAAGACTCCTCCTGGACTACAGATGAAAAGTGTGTGAAAAACCACCTCTACATTCTAAAGAGTTTTTGACGTGTCAGTTCATTTATTTAGGATACATAGATAGATCTTTGTTAATCCCTTGGGATTTCCCTTCAGGAAATTAAGGAACTTAATTACTTTATTAAGGACATTAAAACAAAAAGGCAATCCAAACAAAATCAAACAAACTTTATTAACAACATCATGAGAGCATCTTCACTCTGTGTATGTGTGTATATTCAGTGTGTGGAGAAGCGAGGCAGCTGGTTTCCCAGAATGACTTTTCTCTCCACTCCCTCCTCAGAGATGGAGGCCAGTCTGATCACACCCCCACTGGAGCCATCTCGCTCCATGGCCAGAGACAGCGCTGAGGACAAAGAGAGATAATGTTGTGGGAATTGTTCAGACTAGTAGTGTTTGTATATCAGTACTTTTCTCTACTCAGCGGAGTATGTACCTGTGGCAGTGAGCTCCAGACACTGGTCTTTGGTCATTCCGGGTTTGTAGTTTGAGTCCATAAAGCCGTAGATGTAAGTGCTGCCGCTACCACCTATTGAGACAGGCTGTCTCACCAACATGCCACCAATGGGGACGCAGTACACCTGAGACACCGGGACAAACAGTCACACAGGATATTTGATTTCATAAAACCCCAGACTGTTATTTTAAGCAGCAGGAGCACCATTTAGAGCCAAGGCAGAGAAGTGCAGGATGAAGAAAACCTGCTGCGTGTCCAGTGTTTGTGTTTACCTGCCCCCCCTTCCTCCTGTCCCATCCTGCCACCAGTATCCCTGCACTCAATTCTTCTCTGTAGCGGTAGCAGCTTGCTCTGAAGAGATTGGCTGCTGTCTCCACCAGGGGGGGCTCATCAAGTTCGATGCTGCAGAAAGGTGAAGGAGAACAGATGAACACCAATTACAGGCAATGAGGTTGTCAGCGATGAAACACACTGCAGTCGTGTTACTGGTACACACCTGTGGAAGCCCAGCTGGTAGTTGACCACTTCTGCAATGGCCTGAGTGTCAGCAGCTGATCCAGACCTAAAACACATTTGCAGAGTTAAATAAGAGGTTCAAAAGTTACAGATTCAGTCCCTGACTTGTGAGGGGATCACTGACCTGCAGCAGTAGATTCGGTCGTGGATCTTAGTCAGTTTGTCTGTGACTCTGTTGGCAATGTAGGCCCTAAAAGACACAGAAACAGAACTGTACTGTACTGTTCTTAACACAGAGCTGACAGTCGCATGCATGCTTTTGTTTTACTCACCCTGTGGTTGTGCGAGAGTCTGCGCCGATTACAACGCCTCCATCATACTCCACCGCCATGATGGTGGTCTGTAATGAAGCCAGACAGATGTTACTGATGCAGTTTCGTACTTTAACTAAATTTAAACAAATACATCTACCTACTAGCCCAATGCTATTCTTTTGTAACATCAAAAACACTACCCATTGAATATCCCATTATAGGACACACATCAACTTTGTTTCTTGACTTTTCTTTAGGTGCCCACCAGCTTTAGTCCATTTTTGGATATGCAATAGTGCGTCTTGTATTAACTCTGGTGGCCAAGGGTTTTTATCTGAAAATTTTATCTTCCTCCAGATCCAACCGCACTAGGACTTATTTCCATATTGTTTACAGTAATTAGACAAAGTTCGCTTCAGACCTGTAAACATCAGACCTGGACTGATGTTTGACAAATAAACCACAAATAGCCGTTAGCCACCGTTAGCTACCTCGTTAGTGCTGTCTCATTCACCACCTTTAACTGACAAAACACTCCTCTCCGAAACAGAACATATTCCGGTTCGGTCTTTCCACATTCCTTATTACCCTAACTCACCCCAGTGCTGACTTCCTGGCTTGTCCATTCAGGTACCATGTCATTTTTAGAGGAAATTCGCTGCACAATTTCGGGCATCATTGTCGATGTAGCCGCCATTGCGTCTCTATCTGAAGTCGAAGTTACCCAAGCAGTGCCGGATTTACACAGTTAACACGGTTTGTTGACATCAATCTAATATTCAGGGTTTTTTTTCATTATATTTATTTGTTTAGAAACACTTTTCATGTTAAAGTATATAGCCATTACAAAAAAATAACAACACATATTTGAAGAACCCAAATGATCATGGATGAGATTTATTCTGGCATGACAATGGACACCTGAACAGCAGGGTCCTACTGAAAACAGGAAGAGAAGGTAAACACAGCTGCTCTTATTGAAAAGGTGAAATAAACGTCGTTTTAAAAGATGATTAATCAGAAATGGTTTGCTTGTTCTCACTTAACAGTGTGTTTTTGTTTTATGTGTCAATATTTGATACATTTGTTTTCTTTAGTAAAGACATAGTTTACTTGTGGATCGTGTCCTGGCGTCTGAGCTGGCCGAAATACCTAGCTCCGTATGAAAATACATTAGGTGACATAGAATTTGTGTAAAAACTGTACAATAAAAGCACAAATGACACAAGTGTTTAAATGCACACATTTTTAAGAGGATAATTAATATAGACACAGTTTAATTGTGCTTATTTTACGGTTTAAAACTTTACAACTTTGTCAGGAAAAGTGCCTTGCTAATATATGTTACTACCGCTGTCACTCTTGTTTTTACTTATTTCAGATGACTGTCCACAACCTTTACATATTTGACCGGAATGGAAACTGCCTGTACTACAATGAGTGGAATCGGAAAAAGCAAGCAGGAATATCCAAAGAGGAGGTGATGTAGAGGGAGACAAGTATGGGACAAGTAAGAGGACAACAGAGGCACAGATGATGTTGTAGTTATTGCTCCTGTCCGTTTCTTTCTCTGCGCAGGAATACAAGCTGATGTATGGAATGCTCTTCTCCATCCGATCCTTCGTCAGTAAAATGTCCCCACTAGACATGTATCCTTTTCCCCACTGGTCCGTGTGTATCTGTCTGTCTCTGTGTCTCCTCCTCTGTCACTGTTGTCCTTAGCAGCTCCTGCGCCCTCAGGAAGGACGGCTTCCTGTCCTTTCACACCAGCAAATATCGTCTTCATTACTACGAGACTCCAAGTGGATTGAAGTTTGTCATGAACACAGACCTGTCCGTGTCCAATGCCAGAGAAACACTGCAGCACATCTACAGTAACGTAAGACATGGGTCCAGATAGAGACAAGACTGTCTTATTACTTACATCTGCAGATATTAGGAATTTTATTTTGAAAGTATATATTTCAGTGATAAAGAACTGAGGCTGTGGATGAAAAACTTTAACTGGTGATTCACAGATAAGATTTTTCTTTTTAATAAAATCAAACCTTTAGAAGGTGCACAGAAAGTCATACTTTTATTTTGAAATCTATGCAATGGGATGTACTTAATAAGTCATTAATCTGTGTGTGTGTGTCTGTGTGTGTCACAGCTGTACGTGGAGTACATTGTGAAGAACCCCGTGTGTGTTTTAGGCCAGAGTTTGGACAGTGAACTTTTCAGCAGTCGACTGGACGCCTTCATCAGAGCTCTGCCGTACTACAGCCCCCGTGCTGCCTGAAACACACACATGTCAGAACTTGTGCAGTCTGTCGTATTTATTGTTTTTGTATCTTCACTCTGACTCTGTGTTCAACTGTGACTCATCGGAAAAATAAAGACCTGTGTGGAAATTAAAGTAGATCTCTGACTGACGACACTGTCTGTTTTCAACAGAAAGTAAAAAATCTAAATCACCACTGTAGTCAGAGGTAATGAAAGAGTAAACACCTGGTTGGTGGTCTACACTTGCTGACGTCCATATCAGCATGTCATGTGAATTTTTTTGGCTTGTCACCAGGTGTTGAGGCTGTTCAGAAATTATATATTTTCCAACAAAGGTAGAATGAACATGACAACAGGAAAAACAAGTCAACACAGTCCTTTGTTATTAAAATGACTACAATTTTTTTAATTCTTTTTTATCGCTTATCTCTTGGTTGTGCTGCTTGCTGTTGTTTGTTTATTGTTGAGTTTTCAATCCAAACATCTCTCATCCATTCTGTTAAGAGAAACTTCTGACACTAGCTCTCAGAAGTCATGGAGATTCCTACTGGGCTAACAGTTGACATGTAGCTGGTGAAGTCATTTAACAATAACATCTGCAGGTTAGCATCTGAGGCAACTAAAACAATATGACATTTTTCATTCATGAATTTTTCATTTTCAGTCCATTATGACTGACATCCTGAGGAAATTAATTTTATGCCAAATATTTCTTGGTTGAAACTAATCAAGCTAAAGATTAGCTATAAAATTAAGCTGTTCTGTATAATGACACTTTTACTCTGATTGGTCCCCAGGGGGCAGGCAAGAGAGGGCTATTAGGTTTGTGTGTTTGTGTTTGTGTGTGTGCCAATACCTGATCAACAGATCAATATCTAGATTGATGTCCAAGCAACATTATTGATCAGACTTGGTCATTAGAAAAAAAACAATAATAAATGAGACAGTGAAGCCCTAAACGGACAGATTCCTGATTGAGCTTCGAAATGAAGTTCAGCTATGTTACTGCTGACTGGCCTCATGTGCCTCGTGCCTGAAACCATAGCACTAAACATAAGACTTTTAGAAAATGAACAAAAGATTTGATTTTCTAAACGGACTTTGGTGTTCGCTTCATAAACCGGAGTTTTCAGTGGTTGATTTAATCAGGTTTCACAAATGATACTTCCAGCGGTGGACCTCTTGCCCAGTGAAGGACAGTGGCATTTAAATGACAACATTTTTGTCTCACATGGAGCAAATGATGTGAAGACAGTGAAGACCATCCACGAGTCTCTGTGTGCAGCTACTGCTCTAATCCACATTAGTGACACCATACCTTTGGCCCGAGGCAGCTTAGGGAGAGACAGAAAGAGAGTGAGAGAGAGAGAGACTGTGTGTGTGGTTCTGTATGCAGCTAATGCAGCCATAGAGAGAAGGAGGAGACACAGAGTGGGGGAAGGTCAGAAAGTCTTTTAACGATGTGTAGCAAAGATTCCCATCAAACACTCTCTTTGATCTGGTCTTCCATCCAATTCCATCACCTGGTTTAAATGCTTTCACACCGCTAAGCTAACATGCATCACAAATTAGCAGAGGTTAAAACTGTTGAAACACTCATGATTCTCATGATTGATTTTTAATTTATTTGTAACTTCAGGAAAAGCTAACTGGAGAATAACAGTATTTCTAAGTGTCAAGTACGGGGTTAAGAGGTAGCCTAAATAATACAAATGGTGTAAAAAGCTAGCCTAAAAGTTAGCTAAAATCCCAAACCTGCTAAATACCAGCTAAGAAGTTTATAAAACAACGACAATTTAGTCAACAGTTATTTGAAGGCTAGCCCAGCAGTCATTAAAACAGCCAAATTATGGCAAGTTAAAATTATTTAAATTACTTGTTACATGTTTTAAAAAAGAAGCCTGAAATCACAAACACACTTTGTCTCATTTTAACGTTTCCCCCTCTAATACAGAACAGACACTACAACACAGGTAACGTTAACGTTCTGTTGAAATGTTGTCCACAAGCAGAAAGTGTCAGTTCCTATAATCAACCAAGTTTAACTAAAGCTATAGAAGAAGAAGCTAAAAGTTAGCTTTCCCTCTCACTCCCTCCTCCTCTCCCTCTCACTCTGTCTGACAAGTGCTCACTCGCTCGCCCAGTGTGCAGCCAACCAGCTTGAAGTGGGGGGAGGAGGGGGTCTCTCCCGCTCTCTCCCACTTCTCTCTCTCTCTATCCTTTTGTCCCGACTTGGACGCTTCCTTTCTCTCACTTCTCTCTCTCACTCTCTCTCTGCTACTACTTTTCCTCTACCTCGTTCGTCCCGTCTCTTCTTTTCTTCCTCGTTGGACTTTCATCTTCACCGGTCGTCCTCCAGCTGTGGGACATAAGAGGGGACACCGGCACAAACTAACCTTCTTTGTGTGTCCTGATTGGCTGATTGACTTGAGGCGATACCCCCTCCTACAACTCTCGAGGACATCGTCCCCTGGTTTCCATGGTAACCAATGACCTTGGTGGCCTTGACGCTTTCTACAATATATTTTACAGAGCGGCGTACATTTATACAAATATATTTTTGGAAAATATTTTGTTGCTGTACTGAGGAGGATGCAAGTGTCAATAGCATGTAACATGGGTGGTGGCGGGGGTGCTGGAGGTGGGGGGGTGAGCGAGCACCCACTGAAGGAGCGTCGGGTGGCGCCGGTGCCGTCCACCAACTCCAGTGTGGCCCTGGCCTGTCAGTCCAAAGTCAGGGGGGAGTCATCAGGCAGACACACCCTTATGGGCCATGCCCACATGAAGGAGGCCCTGGGTCGTCATGGCAACATGAAGTACAGGTGAGAAAGAGAGAACAGCCAGGTGTGTGAAAGTGGACCTTTCTAACCGTTCAATCACAGCATGAATGGACTCATGGGTGTTCATTTTATGTCGATGACAGAGTTAATCTTACTGACTCAAGCAGAATGGAAGAACTTCGCTCTTGGTATTTGTGTAACATCCAAATCTGTTGCTACATTTCTGTAATATTCCAATTTATGCTGAAATATTTAATTGTATTTTTTTGGAAACATTTTTAAATCGGATAAAACCTGTATTATCTGTATTTCTGATTATAATATAAACATGGATTTTATTTAGGAGAAAAAAATCCTATAAAAATAATTGTAGTTGGTCTAGTCTTTCAGTCAGTTTGTTCTTGACAGTTTATTCCAGTTTGAGCTCTTAGTTCAAAAAAGGGTCAGTTTAAAATGTAGCGTCAGTTTATTTGTTTTCATTTAGATTTCATTTTGTTTCACTTTATGATTTATCCCAAAAGAGTTACGGTACATCCAGGCCAACTGGACGGAGTAGGTTTCTTGAAGATGTTTCACCTCTCATCCAAGAGGCTTCCTCACTTCTGTCCTTTACACGCTCTGTCCTACGGCTTTATAAGTTCTTCCTTCACGTTGGTTGAATTGATCATATCTGCTTTAAATGTATTTGTTTTACAGTATATGGATGTTATCTCATTCTGTTATGAAGTATTCGTTGACTTCAGGTCAGTTTTATTGACACATCCTTTGTCTCAGTTTGTCTTCTGAAGGACAGAAACTTTTGTCCTCTGAGTGACAAAAATCTAGACAGATTCTTTCTGAACAGGTGAGGCAGCAGCCCTCGACCTCCCCCCACAGTATCTGACCTTGGGGCTGTGTGGACATTGGTCCATGGTCAGGGGACGTGTGGACGTGTGGACGTGTGGATGTTGACACAAACGATGAAATTTATGTCTCTGCGAGGACACACTGTTGAAAACAAAAACAACAGTGACCTGCTGGTATTTTTAGCTGCTGTCAAAGTGTGTGGCTGCTGGGACACACACACACACAGACACACACTGGCTGACATGTACATACATGTACACACACACATATACAGTGTATACAACAGTGTATACAACAGTGTATACAACATTGTATACAACAGTGTATACAACAGTGTATAGAACAGTGTGTACAACAGTGTGTACAACAGTGTATACATTAGGAAACAGTTCAGCTGAAGATTAGACTCAAACATCTGATGCGTGTGATAATTAAAAGCAGATGTTTCATTCGTCTGTTCTCTTATCCCTAACACATGATTGGTGGACACATGATTGGTTCATCTGCGAGGTGATTGGTCAGTAATCGTCCTGTGTGCGACAATCTGGTCTCCCTATATTTGCTGGCTGTCTATGCTGCCCCCTTTGGTCCACAGGTGTCAGTACATCATTTCTGTTCTTACTTTATTATTGACTGAACGATTGATTCAAATGTTTTACAGGAACCTTGGGAAATCTGGACTGAGAGTGTCCTGTTTAGGACTCGGTGAGTGTGGCCACACACACAAAACCTACTTGAAATTATTATAACAAAAGTTCAATTGAAACGTTATTTTACGGTGAAATCCGTTTAATTTTAAGTTGTACTAAAATAAACTTGATTTAGACTGCACCAAAATGGACTCAAATCTGATTTGGACGGTGAATTCAACATGATGTCTAAACTGAAGTAGATTACAATCTGGATTCCACTTATTCTTACTGACTGATGGCCCAGATACTAGAGTACCTGAGTCAGAGTTTTGAATCTCTTGTTTACACTGATCCATATTGGAGTCTGTTGTTTCTCTCTTCACAGGGACGTGGGTGACATTTGGTTCTCAGATATCAGATGAGGTACGATTCCATATAATCAGTATACGTATACATTCAGATCCACATGTTCTTTTTCTTTTTCAGATTAGACTTGGGTTTAAAATTCGGTCCGGTTTAGTTCAGCTTCCTACTCAGTTTCTATGAGGAGAAAATACAAACCAAGTTAGAAAATCAAGTTAGCGTTAGACTGAAATCCTAGCATTAACTAAGGTGTTTTTGTGTGTCAAGATGGCAGAGAGTGTGTTGACGTTAGCATACGACAGTGGAGTGAACCTGTTTGACACGGCTGAGATTTACGCTTCAGGCAGGTACAGTCTCATTATCTGTCTCATCACCCCCACCTCCCAAGTTTGTATCCATGCTGACATCACAACAACCTGCTGATGTCTCTTCCTGTTGTGTGTGTCAGGGCAGAGACGACTTTGGGAAACATCCTGAAGAAGAAAGGATGGAGGTAAGCACTGATGTGGACAAATGTGTGTGTCTGTGGGGACAGATTTTAGTTATCCCAGATATTGGTATCCAACTTTTCTTTTAGCCCATAAGGGCAGATAAAGACATGGAAAAATACCAGAGACAAGTCTAGACAGATACAGAAGTCATCCCAGTCACTGTGGACAGACACATTGGACCACACCTGAGACATGTCCATCTCCAGGGACAGGAGAAAATGTAGGGACACATTAGGACCATTACAGATGTGTGGACATGTGAGTTAAGATTGTCTCAGAGGACATAGGCAGCTGAAAACCTGAAGATTAAAAAAAAAAAACGGGACAAAATTCCTGAATCAACAGTTTTAATAATAAATCGAATGATGACTCAGCAGATTCGCTCACACACACACACACACACACACATACATGCTCTCTGTTACTGATGTAGACTCTAAAATAACTCTCTTTCCACCTGTGTCTCCACCCAGGAGGTCCAGCTACGTGGTAACCACCAAGATCTACTGGGGAGGACAGTGAGTGTCCATTACTAGTCTACACTTATGGACGGATGATGTCCACTGTTAATTGTCTTTGTGTGTTTGCAGGGCGGAGACAGAACGAGGATTGTCCCGTAAACACATCATTGAAGGTGAACAGGAAGTGCTCCTTTCTTCAACATTCACTGATCACACAGTTAAAATGAGCTCGAACCACATCTAGATAAACAATAGGTTGACAGTTGACCAAGGCTCCGTGTGTTTCAGTTTCCTTTCACTTTCTACACTAAGCATGCAGATCAAAGTATTTACTGGCTGAATAGCCTTACTGCTTGGTTTGCTAACCAGTCTAACCATATAATGACATCTTTACAGTGGTCTTAAGTTAGCTAGCTAACGCATTTACTTTCATTCCAAACAAGAACAACCAGATGAACAAAATATAATCTCCAAAATAACAGTATATTAACTAATTGGATTTCGTTTAGACCATAAACAACATATATAATATATAACGTATGCAGCTCCAACACAACTATGGCCCTTGTTTTGTGTTGAATCTTAAACTTCATTGGCTTCAGCAACGAGCTCTACTCACACGGTTCTTTTCTGCAGGTCTGCGTGGCTCCCTCTGCAGGTTACAGCTGGACTACGTTGATGTAGTCTTCGCCAACCGGAACGATATCAACACGCCAATGGAGGGTTAGCACATGCCCGGTCTCTGTCATCCTCTTCATGTCTCCATCCTTGTCTAAAACAACCATTGGTGTGTTTCACAGAAATTGTCCGTGCAATGACTTTTGTCATTGACCAGGGGTTAGCCATCTACTGGGGAACGTCACGTTGGAATGCTGTGGAAATCATGGTGCCAGACTCCTATGTCTGTTTGACTTTGAACTGTCTGTCCGTCTCTGACCTGTCTGAGTGCATTTGACCTTTAATTTGAGTCTTTGACCTGACCTGTCTCTTCCACCCGTCGCCCTGTCTGTCTCTCTACCCCTCCTCAGGAAGCCTACTCTGTAGCAAGACAGTTTAACTTGATTCCTCCAGTGTGTGAACAGGCAGAGTATCATTATTTCCAGAGAGAGAAGGTGGAACTGCAGCTGCCAGAACTCTACCACAAGATAGGTACACACACACACACCCACACACACACACACACACACACACTGTGAATATGAACCATGCTGAGCATCATTAATAATCTTATTATTAACACTGTGTCAGCTCTGGACTCAGCAGTCACAGGTACCTGCAGAATGAGGACAGAAAAAGAGAACACACACACACACACACACACACACACACACACACACTTATATAGACTTGTTTTAAATACTGCTTAGTCAAACTGTGTGTTTTGGTGTCCTTTTTACAAATACACACTCCACATTGAGACACACACACACACACGTATATATATATATATATATATATATATATATATATATATATATATATATGTGTGTGTGTATGTATATAGTATCTTAGCACCCATCATTACTCCTGAGCTGATCTAGAAGAACCTGGATGCTGAACAGACTCAGCAGAGTGGAGGGGACGGCAGCTGTCCATGTCTAAACATAGTGGCTGTGTGTGTGTGTGTGTGTGTGTGTGTGTGTCACTGAAGGTGTTGGAGCAATGACCTGGTCTCCGTTAGCTTGTGGTCTGCTTACGGGAAAATACAACGAGGGTGTTCCAGAAAGCTCAAGGGCCACCATGACGGTACCTCAACCCTCTCACACACAAGTGCACACAAACTCACACACACACACACACACACACACAAAAATTATAAATCTTGAAGACAGGCTTCAGGCTGAGAGACCATCTGTTACTATTGAGATCAATAATGTGTGTGTGTGTGTGTGTGTGTGCGTTAGGGATATTCATGGCTGAAGGAGCGTCTCTTCAGCGAAGACGGCAAGAAGCAGCTGAGTAAAATCAAAGATCTTCTCCTGCTGGCTGTCAGACTGAACTGCACACCTGCTCAGCTCGCCATAGGTATGAATCTATGTGAGTGTGCGGTGTGTCCAAGGTCTCGCTGGTTTAGTGTGGCATTTTTACTACACTTTCATTCTTTAACTTTACATTAATACTGACAGGGACTTCAATTATTTTTTAACTTATTGTTTAACTGTTCATCATCGTCACCTTGTAATTAATCTAACTCCTCCCGTTTTTTATTTGTTTTTGCTCACTCACAGGTTCTTTTACTATTTTTTCTGTTTGGGCACAGTTTTCACTAATGCAGTTCTCTTCTCACTGTTAAACTATGAGCGTTGTGTCTGCATGTATGTTTCAGCGTGGTGTCTCCGTAGTGAAGGCGTCAGCTCAGTTCTTCTCGGAGTCTCCAACACAGAGCAGCTGCTGGAGAATCTGGGTGCTCTCAGGGTAACTACCAGTTAACTAGTATAACTTGCTGACTGTGTGTTTTATTCTCACGCTGTCAAGTTTCTGCTTGACTTGAATGTATCTCTATAATAACGACTGCTAACAAACAGTGATACATTGTGTGAGGCTGTGGTCAAACATGCTGTGCCGTCTAACTTTAACAAAGTGCTGTATTTGTGTTTTCTGATGTTGGTTTTATCCACCTTACTCACATTTAGCATTTGCTGACTTCAAAGAAAGAAGTCAGCAAAGAAAAGTGGGATACCCAGGGAGAGGGGGAGAGCTTCAAAGGAGGGCACACAGCAAAGAAAAACAATTCTATTGATTTGTGGGATGTGCAAAGTGGCAAGGAGAAAAGAAATGTGGTGAAGTGAGAAAGAATGTGCAGCAGGTTAGGGTGATAAAGGGAGGAGATAAAAATGCATCTGAAAGCACAGGTCATTGAAAAGGTTGATGCCTGTTGCAAATTATACAGTTTGTAGCCTGTTCTGCTAGTAATTAAAGTTTTTTGACCAGATACAGGTTAAAATAATAATAATAAAAAAAACTTCAGTCTCGATGCTGCTTTTTAATCATTAGAAACTGATCCCCAATCAGATCTCAATACATTTGTTGTGGATGTGAAACAAATGGACATTTATTTGGATGAACTCTTTTTCTCTGCAGGTTTTGTGTCAGTTGACTCCGCCCCTCATCACAGAGATGGATGAGTTACTTGGTAACAAGCCACGGAACCTTAAGAAGGAGGTGCGCAGTTAAGGTCAAATGTCCAACACTGTACACATGAGAAAAAGATGGCTGCCTCATTATCATAAAGACTTGGGCTCCACCGTCACTGTCCAAAAAAAACAGAGACTATATTTTTATTTTTTTGGCATTACTGACCACAGACCCAATCAATACCAAGGTGTGTATTCAACAATCAATAATTATTTGTCAATACTGACCAATACAGACTGATCTAAAGGTGAAGTAACACTGTTGAAATAACTGCACAATTGTAAGTTACTGTTCAATGTATGAATGAAGTTAGTTATTAACATGTTTATTTATTTACTTATACAACTTCTAATTTCTCAGTTTAAAAGCACATTTATTTCAAGTAGATTAATTAAATAATTTAAATAAAATGTGACTTATTTCAACAAATGCTCCAAACAGATTAAAATTGATTGAATTGAATATAAAAAAAAATTGATTTTGAACTGATTTTATTTTTAGATATCTCGGCAGAACCAACACTGTGACACACTTTACCACCAAATTGTAGTTACAGTAATGTAAAGAAAAATACAGACATTTGTATATTTTCTGATTGTAGCAGCCATAGATTATTTAAAATCCATCATCCACTACAGATAATCTATATAAAAAAAAACAAAATAATTTAAAAAAATCAATAAATGTCAGATTTCAATCAAGATAAAAAAAATAACAATCACAATAATAAGATGCCACTCTGATGATGTGTTTCCATAAACACAAAGTGACCTTTATTGGTCACATGATTTGATTGACTCTAGTCACAAATTGACTTGACTTGATTTTTTTTTCATTCCTTTATGTAGTACACAAAAACAAAAAAATGTATAAACCATCACCTGAAAGTACGATGTATGTCCACCAGGGGGAGCAGAGATGCATTTACTGTTGACACTGGTAAGCATATATAATAATTAAATTTATCTAAAAGGTAAACTGTTAAAAAAAAGCTGTAGTCACAAATTATAGGTAGCTAAAGATTAGCCAAATATAAATTGAAATGCATAGATCACACCATACATGTTAGTCAAGAAAGTTTACATGAATAGTTGAATACAATTGTTTGTGAAATACATAACATTTAAATGAAAGATAGGGAAAATATTTAGCCAGTAGAATAAACCTAACCAAAAATATAGAGGAAAAAAACACCTTAACCAAAGGATAGACATTACCATAGAAATGGTCAAATATTAGCAAATAATCTAGGAAAAATATTTACAATGAATTACTAAATCACAAAAATAGTAAATAAACAAGATTTGTAAGAAAACAAAAAGAAAGCCTGTAAATTTAAAAAGTGAATCAAACCATACCATAAAAGCAAAAATAAGCCAGAATAAGCTACGACCCAAAGATATATGACTTATATATAAATAAAAAATAGTAAAAAGGCTTTTGGAAATAGTCAGACAATAGTAATAATGATCACTGAAAAAAAGTAGGTAAGAAAGAGTGAGATAGCTAAAGAAACATTTCTAAAACATCATAATAAAGTCCGACTGTAAATATTATGAAGGTAACCAAAAGTAGGTGGCAAAAAGGTTCAGACTTAGAAGAAAAGTTGACAAAAGTAAACCCAAGACTAGCTAAAGTTAAATAAAATATCAAAAGCATATTTGATTCAGATTTTTTTTACTTTTTAGATACAGTAAATCTGATTCTTGTATCCATAACTTTTATTTTGGCCCATCCAAGGACCATAGTTGGTCCATGTTCTAGATGTTGGACACATGTGCTTTTAAGAATAGATTTGTTGTGTTGTATAGAGTTTATTCTGAGAAAAACACATTATTTTGAAATAAAATACTACAAACATTTTTCAACACAGTTGTTATTCCTGTGTGATATCAAACCATAACATTTTTTACTAATTCAAATGTCACTTTTATGGTTTGTTGTTGCTCCAAAGCAAAATGATGATATTCAGATGATGTCAGAATTCAAACTTAAAAAGTAAAATTGAACCACACTTTCTTGGGCTAGTCCATGTTGTCAGGCCTGTCTGAACTGTCTATTTATTTATATTTACTTTGTTCAAATATTTATTTTGTTAGGGGTTTTGCTGTTTTCTTGAAGAGACATTTTAAATAGTTTGAGCAGCCTCTATCTAATAAGATATGGAACAAAGATGATGTTTGAGTGGGAGAATGTAGAACAAGTGAATAGTTGACCCTGGTTAGTGTTGACTGGAGGTACGGTGACCAGGTGTCCCTCTTTGCTGAGGACGATACAGCATTTGTTTTTAGTCAGTCATCAAATGGAAATATGTTTCCTCATTCTGATATGTTTGGATATACAAAACCAGAGACGGTTAATAATGACTTGATGAAATGTGCTTTATGAAAAAGAACTATCTCATATTGTTATCTGCGTCATAGTGCTTTATGAAAAATAACTATCTCATATTGTTATCTGCGTCATATTCCTTTAGTGATCTAATTCATGAGACTCTGAAATACGTTGCAAATAAAATTCGTGAAAAATGTTGCGCGTTTTTTTTTTTTTTTCACGCTTTCCATTTTTTAAAAATTATATACTACATTTGAATGCGTCACCAACTCCCTTTTCCATCCTTAGTCCGTGTTTTAACATGTGACAGGATGAAGAAAGATACAATTTAAGATTTCCCAGCTTCTGTGGGAACAGTGAAAGGGCTCACGCCATTTGGGCGTGTTTGTCAGTCTTCGTGCTCCGCCTGCTGCGCTTGTGATTGGTGGGTTGGAGCTTCGTTTCTCCGGACGTGCCCGCTCCACAGAGTCACCTTGCTCCGGCTCCTACCTCTGCAGCTGCTGACCCGGTGAGAGCAGGTGGACCGCCGCTGCCCCACAGCCACACAGCGGCGATACTCGAGACTCTGTGAGCCAAAAGAAAATATGGCGCAGACAAAGCCGAAGACATCGCCAAAGGCCATCAAGTTCCTGTTTGGAGGCTTGGCAGGGTACGTACCGCCGCTAGCTGTCATGCTAACGGCTAATGTCAGTGGCTACCGGGGGGGAAGTCTTAGATACACACAGCTCGTTGTCACGGGAGTAACATCACCGGGAGATTCCGGTGATGTATACAGACTCATGACGAGTGTGTGACGTAACACGTCGACCTAAATGATTTAAAAAGTAGAAGATAAAAGTTAAATACACAGCTTTAACCGTGCACCAATAAATAAAATCACACTTTTCACACCATGGATATATGATGAGGAACGATTAACATAACTATGTTCTTGTACACACGCACAAAGTTGCGTAACAAAGTGAGGTGTATTAAAAAATAAATACATCACAAAATACACCTGCTGTTAATGGAACATGTCATGTTTATTAATATTATTATTATTATTGATTTCAGGGAGCAGCTGGTGACCCCTGTAGAACAACTGTTATTGTTGTTGTTGTTGTTGCTTTGGTTCTAAATTGACCAAGGTGGATTGGGCTAACTGTCATCGCCGTGTTAGGACAAACTGCTAGCATAAGTCAAACTTCAACCTGAAAATAAAACTATACTGTAATTACCTAATTCCAATTACCTTCCACTAAGATAGGAGGAGGACTCGGAGTGACGACACGACTTAGATCAGTGGTTCAGTAACTATTTATACTCTGTCCCACCATGATGACCAACATTAGAATATAGCAGCAGAGGCCTTCACTGTTAGCTTCCACCACACAGGAGAGATGTTTAGAAATGTTTAGAAAGATGTTTATGTCTAAATGTTGTATTAATTGTGCATGGTATATTTCAGATTTATTCAGTTGAAAATGTAAATGTGAAAATATGAATTTTCCCCACGTACCACTGGTACAGTTTGAGAATCACTGACTTAGATGATAAAAAGAGAGAGAGAGAGGGAAAGGGACAGAGAGAAATAAAGCGATGGCTAAAATGACCCAGCGAGGGACAGTGAGCGGTACAGCACAACAGTGTCGAAAAATAGAGCTTGGTTGAGCACTCGTAACTAGATGTTTCCTCGTGTCACAAGGAAAATATTGAAAAAGTTGCTTACTCGTAACTTGGATTTTAGGGGGGTATTCGGGGAGCTGGTATCTCAGGGCTCCCTCTGTACTTTGCACTCTTACCACTAGTTGTGTAAGCTGGCCTCAGTCGTGATCAACCGTGACGTCACGCCTACCACTCATGTGTTACATCATTACCAGCCTGACTGGTGTGTTCTAACAGGAGAGTTATTTGTTTGTGAACTTTGTTCCTCACATTGTGTCCTTAAGATTAATGGAGCTGATTATGAATGATAACCTAAAAGAAACGAACTATGGGAAAATACTCAACAGTTGACCACATACCTTTGGCTGTTTGAAATATATATATATACATATATATGTATATGTATGTATATATATATCTATATATATATATGTATATATATGTGTGTGTGTCTGTATATATATATACATATATATATATATAAAATTATAATATAATAAACAGGAACAGGAATATTATTATTATAAGAGGAAGTTATAATGACGCAGTCAAAAACCAGCTAGCACTAGCACTGACCCCGGACCCGGTCCACTCATGAAAAGTTCACTCATGAAGTCTGTCAGCACTGTCAGTTTCACTGAAATCTATTCTGATCCTCTGCACTTTATTGTGAGTGTTTCTGATCCGCGTTATAAAGATTATTACTTGGATGTTGGAATAAAGCAGTGCGTATGAGAAATGATCCAGCAGTTGACTTAAATGCACTGTGTTTTTATGAGAGAACTTATTTAATATGACAATCTTTCAGTAGACCTGTACATTATCATTTGATGTACACATAAGTGGGGTCAAGTTTAACATTTTATTATGATTTTAATTTGATATTTTATTTTATATTGTGCGTTGTTGGAATGTGCTAAATAAATACTTTCATAATTTTGTATTAGTTTTATTCTTTGAAACATTAATAATAATGTATGCAATATCCTTGATTTTATTGAGGTTTAGTTCACAGTCATAGCCATATTGCTATAATGTTATAATGCATAATGGTACTGATAATTGGCAAAATCATTTCTCTTGGTTTTTCTCATTTTCGGTTTCGGCCAACAATTTTAATTTCTGGTGCATCCCTTATAATATATAAATATATACAGTATATATATATATAATACTGGAGAACAGAATTTATCCAACGGACACAATCTTTTTACTTTGTTCCAGGATGGGTGCAACCGTCTTTGTCCAGCCGTTGGACCTCGTGAAGAACAGGATGCAGCTGAGTGGTCAGGGAACAACAGCGCGGGAATACAAAACGAGTTTCCACGCTTTATTCTCCATCCTGAGGAATGAGGGTGTAGGAGGCATCTACACAGGGTATCTATCAATCACTTCCTCACTTTATCTGTCATGACGTCTTCAAGCCATCAGAAGGAGGCAGTATTGCACCATTTTGAATGTCAGAAACTGTGAAACACAAAGCAAGAAAAGTAGAAAGAAACAAAACATCACTTCCTGTCACCTACATGTCCAATTGACTTAATGTTTGACTTACAGTGTGTATTTTAGTTAGACTTATTTTACCAGTGCACATCCAAATTCTGTGTGTCAGGTTGTCAGCAGGTCTTCTGCGTCAGGCAACCTACACAACGACCAGATTAGGAATCTACACCATCCTGTTTGAGAAGATGACAAGCGCAGACGGACGTCCACCAAACTTCCTCCTCAAGGTTTGTCTTCTGGTCTTCAACCATCCCTGCAAACCATAGTTTTTATGATAGATGGGAAATGTCTCCTCCCACAGGCCCTCATCGGAATGACGGCGGGAGCCACAGGGGCATTTGTTGGGACACCAGCAGAGGTAGCTCTAATCAGGATGACAGCAGATGGACGGTGAGATGGTGGTTGATTGACACTGTGTGTGTGTGTGTGTGTGTGTGTGTGTGTGAGAGAGAGAGAGAGCATTTTCCTGAACATGGAAATGTGTTGTGTTGGTTTTCCTACCCTTTTCGTATATCTTTCCACAGCCTCCCTCCTGACCAGAGGCGGGGCTACCGCAACGTCTTCAATGCCCTCGCTCGCATCACCAAAGAAGAGGGCGTGGTAACACTGTGGAGGGTAAGACATAGTGATGTCGCAATATGACATTAGAGAATTGACAACATCAGTGATTATGCTTCAGTGTTGACCGTTGAACATTTGCTGTTGACCTTTGATCTTTGCTCCAGTGTGTTAAACAGTTGACCCCTGACCTCTGTGTTTCAGGGCTGTATTCCCACCATGGCCCGTGCAGTTGTGGTGAACGCAGCTCAGCTGGCATCGTACTCCCAGTCCAAACAGGCTCTGTTGGACTCAGGTAAACCCATAGACTTACACGGACACACACACACACACACACACACACACACACACACTTACTTAAATCAGACCCTGGTATCCTCAGATCAGAGGGCCTTTGCACAAAACACACCAAACCAGGATAAGGGATTATGCCGGGATATGTTGCTCATTCTGAAATTGATTGCATGAAAGCAGGACAAAGCTAACCTGGGAGTCAGGCTAGGTATATTTTGGCCTTTGTGCAACCAATTAAGTCAAAATGCGTGGATCAGAATAGGTTAAGCCGCTCTTGCTCAGGTGATCTGTATATCTTTTGTGCAATACCCCTCAGATCTTGGTCCTTGATCAGACCAGTGGTCGTGGCAGCGACTACACCCTTTGTCCTTTGTTTTCCAGGCTACTTCAACGACGACATTCTCTGTCACTTCTGTGCCAGTATGATCAGTGGTCTGGTGACCACAGCCGCGTCCATGCCCGTAGACATCGTCAAAACCAGGTGAGAAGACAGAGCAGAAACATGAGAGTGCCCCCTGCTGCCAGCAGCAACAGCCATGTTTTGTCATTGTTAGTGACCTTTCTCTGTCTCTCATCAGGATTCAGAACATGAGGATGATTGACGGGAAACCTGAGTATAAAAATGGTTTGGTGAGTTTATTTGAAATCAGACAGACAGAAAAGAAAAGAAAACCTTAAATAAACAAGAAACTGCCAACAAAGTCTTGTTATCCAAAAAACTCAACAGAGATACACAGTAATGCCCTGGAGAGCATTAAAGTCATGTCAAGTCATTCAAAATATGAAAAAAGATTTTGCATGACAGCCCAGTTAAATAAAAACATTGGCCTAAATCAAGTGAAATTAAATTTCCTAGAAATGGTCATTGGGGAAAACAAAAAACTCAAAACACTGCTGTGGAAACTGACAATATTTGTGCAAACTGCAGTATTATCACTCCTTCATGTGTCTGTGTCTGTCCACCAGGAGGTGCTAATGCGAGTGGTGGGCAAAGAAGGCTTCTTCTCACTGTGGAAGGGTTTCACACCGTACTACGCTCGACTCGGGCCTCACACTGTGCTCACTTTTATCTTCTTGGAGCAGATGAACCGTCTGTACAAGAGCTACGTCCTGGACCGCTGATACACACACACACACACACACACACACACACACACTGCCAGTATCAGTGTTAAAAAACCTGGACTGTACGAGGTTACAAACACACACACTGACATACACTGCCCATTCAGTGTCTCTAATACACACACACACACACACACACACACATGCACTTACACCTGAAGCAGACTTCTTGTGAAGAACAGAACCCTAAACATCATTTCTGATGTTTTATATTGTCACTAAAGATGAGTCTTATTTGTAGAAAAGCTGCATTGTATTCTGGGATTGATGGATGTGTTGCTTTGTGTTTGTGAATAAAACTCTTCCTCTACTCAACGCAGCCTTCCGGTGTGAACTCTGAGCCAGTGCATACAGGAAGTGGATTCACTTCTGTGACAAGGTCAACAACTGTTGAACGTTTGGTTTTGAAAGATTCTACAGTACATTGACACCTCAGCTTGAAGTTTAGCGCCGAAATAGCCAAAAATTGAACAAAACATAGTCCAGAGAAGACTAAATGTTAGCCCCTAAAATTAATCAAGTAATAGCTCGGAGGTAGAATCAAAATACAAAAAAGTAAGCACGAAAGAGGTACAGAAAATACGAAAGAAAATTAAATGTTATAGAATAGTTGGTCTTGCTGTGAAAACTAAATGTTGCTAAATGCTAAGAATACCAAAGTTGGCTAATAAAATAATAATAATAACTAAAGGTTAGGAATTGTTGGAAAAACACTCCTCCTCAGTTACCCAGTAGGGGGAACAGTCAGGATTGACCCTTGTATTTAAGTATTCAGTTCATGAATTCCTTTTTAAACATCACTTGTATTTGAATCTGGAGTTAGGATTAGAATTAAAAAACATTTGAAAAACCTGTTCCGATCCACAGTCCCTGTTGAAAATCATTGATATAACAACTAGAGCACGGCGGTCGCAGTCTCGACACAAAGACGTGACATTGTGACATCTTTGTTTGAAAACCTTCATTGGCGTTCAACACAAACACAACAAATGAATCCAACAGCACCCCGTGTGTTCCCTACCAGCTTATTTTTTCAATGAACTTCAGTATCATAAAATTACTGAAAAAAAAATTAAAATGAGTTTTAGTTGCAAAACAAAATGTGGCAAAATGGCAACAAAAAAACTGCATTTTAAATATTTCCTTATGCTTGCTCTTTGTGCGGTAGGTGCTAACGGTTGAGTTATAATTGCCAGATCGACATGTGGTGCCCTATAGTGTGTCAACACTGATAAGTCTAATGATAACCTCGTTATGTTTCTAAAATACAGGATGTCGGAATTCAAAAATGTCACAACAAAAAGTGAACATCGCCTCAAGCTACTGTTTTTTTGTTTTTTTGCGAACATGTTGACGTGTTATTCTTGTTTATTTAATTAGGAACAAGTGTTTGTGCTTGTGAGAATAACACAAGTTTGATTTTGCTACAGGATGTAACTGTCGCTAACAGGAAGTGGGTATAGTTGGTTAAGAGTTTCAGGTTTGTCGTTCACAAGTGTTTTGCATGCTGTTGTGTTTTCGTCTTTGAGTGTGTTTGGTTACAGTCACACATACTGGGTTATTGAAGCTTCAGTATGTGACAAACCCGCACCACTTCCTCTTCACTCGCTCGCCCGCCTCCACTTTTTTTGTCTTGACTGTGCATTGGGCGTGCTCGTGCAAATGTGTTCTGCTTAAACCTCCATAAAAGGCAGCTTAATTTAAGACGGAAGTTGCATCGGAATCTTCCGTTAGCCCTGTTTGAAGGCCATGTCCTCCATTCAGAACCTAATTGAGAAATGTAACATTTTAGTGATGCAGCAGTGGTTATTATCCATCACTGAGAATAGGAAGTGACGACAATAAACAAATCTGACTTGTGCGACATTAAATGTTCTCCCCAGCATACTGTATATCTGTGACCACATTATTCATTTGAAGACAGATTATTAAATAGACAATGAGAAGGTCACACACACTTTTACTGGAAACAGAACACTGTGTAAAAGAACTCCAGTTCTGCCTTTTAACTTCCTGTTTCTAAAAACTTGGTGAAAACTATTTCTCGCCTGCGTGTGTGTGTGCGCGTGTGTGGGTGAGTGTGTGTGCTCCTCTTCCCCTGGGCTATGCATACTGTAGATGATGACTTGTAGAAACTCGTTTATCTCAGCCACTGCAAAACCTTCACACACACACACACACACACACACTTGATGATCCTGCATGCTTTAGATACTCGGATTTTCAGAGGTCCGAGGTCATTGTCCTCTCTCGACATGTGATTATGTTCATTTTCTACTACTTTTAAACTAAAGAAGCTGATTGGATTAGCGTTGGTTATGCCAACCGTTACCTGCTTCTAGCAAACTGTACCAAGCACTGCAGGAAGTCCCGTTACCTGCTTCTAGCAAACTGTACCAGTGCAGTGTTAGCTGATTAATGACAAACATGAACATGAGTGGCTCAAGCTCTGGCTTTACATTTGGTCTTGGACCTGCCGAAGTTGCAGCTAACAGCCGACATGTTGGCTGAAAACACTGTTGACACACGGGCTTGTTGTAATAGTGGATACATTTGAATCACAGTGACTGGCTCTTGTTGTTGACTTTAAACATTGATGACACAATGACAGGAAATAAAATGTTGTTGTGTTGGCAAATACGGGAGCTGACAACTGTCAATATTCATGCTACCACAACCGGCTAGCTTTAAGGCTAAAATCAACCACTGAAAATGGGTAACTTCAGGCTAATCCTTCCTCACAAATTCCCTGTTTTAAGAGTTAGTAATTTCTCAAAAGGTTCAAATCGGACTTTTTTTATTCTGCTGTCCTCAGTGGCTGGGTCTCCATATTCTTTAGAGGGAAGGGGCTCTGACAGTAGTGCATTCTGGAACCATTCTCCTGTTGTCCACAGGTCTGAACTGGTTTAGGTATGTGTGTGTCCGTGTGTGTGTGTGTGTGTGAGAGAGAGAGAGAGAGAGAGAACATACTTCCTTATTCTTGACTTCCCAGGTAAAAGAGAGAGAGATGGGTGAGAGACACTAAGATTACGTGAGTCGGAGAGAGAGAGAGCGAGAGAGGCAGGAAGCTGCCTGCAGCCAGGGAGTGGCTGTTGGTATAAAAGGCGTTGTGTCTTCCTCCTTTCTGCGTTTGACTTCCCACTCCATCCGTCTGTTTGTCTCTCACTCTTCTCATCCCTGAGAGTCTATCTGCACAGGTAAGTTGACGTGGTCACGACACCTCACTCACGCACACACTGAATACACCGAGAGGCAGGAGCTGGCAGTAACAAAGTGTGTTGTTGTATGTTTTTGTGCTTTTTGTGTCATAGAACGAGATGTCTTGGCAGAGTTACATCGATAATCTGGTGAAAACTGGTGACATCGATGAAGCTGCCATCGTTGGGTATCAGTGCAATGCAGAAGGTATATGGGCAGCCACGGAAGGCTACAAAAACATTACGGTAATGCCTAAGACTCATACACACACAAATACACACACACACACAGACACTCACCCATACCAAAACAATGGCAACTCCAACGAAGATGTCACTCTGCCTCATGTCAGGCCTTGACACTTCCTACTCTAGACTGTGATGGTAGTTACTCATCTGGAAGCAAAAGAAAAATCTAATAGTTGTTATTATTTTATTTATGTTAAAAATACAGTTGATATCATGCAGCGCAGCAGCACCACAGCGCCATCTCTGAGCTTGTCACTGTACAACAGATGTTAGCAAATGTTTCTGATGTCGGAAAGTTTTCCAGTCTTCTCTTCTTCTTCTTCTTCTTCGTCCAAGTTGGTTTGGGCGTGATTAGTGACTTGCCCTGCTGGTTTCCCGCTCTGTCAAAGCAGAGGGGCGGAGCTTGAGGTTGCTAATGTGCTCAAGCGCTGCAGGGCAAATAAATTGGAGCCGGTGGTGCAGGTTGGGACTGAAACTCAAGTGTCGGACTGCTGGCCATTTGTCAGTGTAACGTGTGTAGATTGAAAAAAAGTTTTCAGCAAGATGTTGTGCGTCTTTTCTGGTCGACTGTGGTTTTCGTCCATGCAGCTGAGTATCATTTAAATGACCTTATAAGGAAAAGAGCTGCTGAGACAGGAAGTGGTGAAGATCACTTCTCCTTCTGCGTGTGTCTGCTTGTCTTTACTATTACACAATGAAAGCACTGAAGGTGTGTAACACACACACACAGTGGCAGTTGTAGGTCCCCAGACCCAAACACACACACACACACGTCTGTCCACGTTGGTCCATCTCTTTGAGGTCTAAGACTCTAGTCTTCACAAATGCAGGCAAACAAGTAAACTGAGACACACCTCAGCTTGGTCCCGATTGGCTGGCTGATTTGAGGAAGTGTTTCTTTCGTGTGCTGGTTCTTGACTCGTGTCTGTCATGTCTTAACTCGTCCTGCACACATTCCTCTACACTGCTTTTCCATGTACATACCTGCTACATCTCTCCACTCTTAACATTTACTTTATTTTAAAATATTAAAGAAAATAACAGATTGCCCTGTCCTGTTTAGATAACCAGTCAGATCACTTTTGTATTTGGCTACTGCCTTTTTGAGACTTTTACTGTAGTAAAGTACCTGGTCAGTGGTGTCAGTACATATTCCAAAGTAGTGCAAGTTAGTCCAGGTCATCAGTGATAGCATTTGTACTGGTATTAAAAATACTTTGAAAATCGACAGTACTTTCAAGTGGTATATCGTGAACTTCACAGGAGATAGTGGAGGAGCCTGGCAGTATGTGGGTATTTTAAAGCGAGGCAGCAGTGCTGACACTGGTAAGAATGTAGTGTCACTTTTTCCACGGTCTCCTTACTCTTTGACTTAACAGCATCTTTTTAGTAACTTTGATAGTCTATCAGCAACATGGTGCTCCGACAGTGACATATTAGCAGACTCTTCCAGTGCTGTATTAGTACTTTCAGAGTTTAACAGTACGCACACCGTAACAGTGTCACATGAACAGGCAGCAAAAGTCAAACCAGTCCAACCAGTGCAGCTGAAACTCCACCCAAACAGAGGAGGACATTGTTTTTGTCCCCATTGCTGCGTCACTGTTTTCAGACATTTCTTGAACAAATATGTTTATGTATATGTATAAAAACACAGGTCTGAGAGTAGAAATGTAGACCTCAGTTTCTTCCTCTATCTTTTTTCAGGTAGACGAGATCAAACGACTTGCAGGTACCCGCACCGACTTTGGTGCATCTGGTCCTTGCGTCGGTGGGATGAAGTGTCGTATGCTTAGGGACAATCTTGATGATGAAGGTTTACATAGCATGCAGCTGAAGACGGTTGCAGACGGCAGTGGAAATGCATACATGGTTTGCATTGGCAAGACATGTAAATGTGAGTGTACCCATGGACATGCTAACTGGCATCACATCACACTGTTAGCGCCCAGACGTTGAAGCTTGTGTAGCACACTTGTGTAGTATGAAGTGAAATCACCTGCTCTGTGTGTACTTTTTTTTTTGTGTACGTTTTCCTCAAAAGTCAATATTTAATTGTGTTAACATGCCTCACTGACCAACATTTAAATCAACAACTCTTTGTGTTTCCTCAGCTTTTGTCATTGCCAAAGGAAAAAAAGACGCACAAGGTGGAAATGTAAATCAAGCAGTGTGCTCTATTGTTGAATATCTGAGGAAAAACAACTCTTAACACAAGACGACTGGCACCTGAAAAACCAAAATGTCTCCAAGCTCTTCTCCGTGTGTACCCCTAGCCGAGTGATTTTCTAAAATTATGAAAACGTTGTGTACACACCTCAAGCCTATCAAGTGTTTGTATATTTCACTGTATGGATTTGGACTCAGCATCTAATCACAGTAAAGGAAAAATAAATATCAATCTTTTAACAACAGCATCAAACGGTGTCTGTGTTTAATGGCATTTCACATTGTCACTGAAATTTACAGGGTGGTCAACATAAAATCAGTACAATGATATGCTGTCCTGTAAACCACAATTCAAATCCTTCTCACAATGGGGTCCATAGGTGTGAAGCTTCGTCCATATATATATAATTATATATATAT